CTCAATTTTTCTTCTATTTTCATTTTTTGAGACAGGATTTCTCTGTGTAAATTTTATCTGTCCTATATACCAGGTTTACTTTGAAATCACAGAGATCTGCTTGCTTCTGTCTCTCGAATGCTGGAATTAAAGGTGTGTGCCACCACAAGTAACTACTCTCTTCATTTTTTTTAAACCACTTTATCCTGTTTCTTTTTCTCTCCCAAGCCTATATATATTTTAAAACACACTGTAAACCTTTAGAGGTTTTTCTTAATCTGAATTGTCTTACTGTAAATTTTTATCTTTTTCTGTCCACGAGTCTTTATCTGGTAAACAACAACATTGCTAAAATGAAAGCCACAGCTGTATTAGCTGCAGTCTATGCAAGATGGCGGTGGGTACTTTTACCGCCAGAACTGACTGCTGTGCTCACTGCCTTGGTCTATGCTGCCATCCAGCATCATGCTGCCCGGCTTGGAGATGTGGTCACTGCCATTGCCTGCTCTCCTACAGAACATTAAGTTGTTAGCAGAGCTCTTTAAAAGCCTTTCGGTTCTTTGCTGCTTATGCTGAATCAGGAAACCTCCCTTAAAGGAGCCATGCAAATTTCTGCTTGTCTCTTGCAAAACAGAATCCAACTGAGAAAAATGCTGTTACCAGAAGTCTTGCTTGTCTTTGTTCTTTTGTTTCTAAAACCCTTTCTTAAGCTTTTCTTAAGTTTTAAGTGGAAGTTCTTATTAGCCACATGGGTGCTATTATGCTATATGAGTAGGGTTTTCCTTGCTGGTCTGGCCCCACCGCCACACCAGGCCCAAATAACGCACAGACACTCTGTATTTGATATAAATGCTGTTGGCCAGTTACTTGTTTCTTATCGGCTAGCTCTGTCTTAATTATTAACCTATTTATATTAATCTAAGTACTTCCACATGGTCTTATCTTACCGGAGAGAGGGGCTGGTGTTCTTCTCTCTATCCTCCATCTTGGATCTCCTCCTTACTACTTCCTCTCTCCTCGTCTCCCTAGTCCCGCCTATCTTGGTTTCCTATTGGCCAACAGTGCTTTATTCATTAACCAATAAGAGAAACAGATTTACAGAATGACATCTCCCATCAGGTACCCTATATTTACACAGCAGACAGCTGCCTCTTGCAAGCTCACTGCTCTCTATTTCTTTGGACACCCAGCTTCTCATTTGAATGTGGTGACCTAAGGAGCAATTCAACCCCTAAAAGTAGCTTTTCAATTTGCTTTCAGAGGCACTGTCCTAGACTTCATAGGTGGTGCCTGCTTCCCATTTCATCACCGAATCACTGTAACATTTGTATGTTTGATACCATCATTGATTTCAATTGTCCTGTACGGGACAGCTGATCTTGGCAGAAATAGAGGCAGTCTTCTTGCATGGTGTCTTCTCCTTTGCTCTGTACCCTCAGTCTTCTTCCTCCCTGTCTGTCTTCTTTGTATGTCTTCTGTATAATATTTCTGTTGTGTGTAGAAAGATACAAAACCTGAGAATTGGTTCATGAAGCACCATCCTTTCTTACATGAGCCATTCATAATACTTGGAAGTTAAGCAGACCTGGGTTTCAGAACTGACTTCCAACAGTAGTGCCGGTATAAAGCAGCAAGGAAAAGTGCTGTTCTTTCCATAGATGTTAGGCATGTCAATGTCCTTGGTATCTGCAAACTTAAGTAGCTCAGGAAGCTTCAAGAGTATTCATTTCAGTCCTAATCTTTTTGTCATAATAAATTCTTCATCTCAGTTTCTTTTTTATTTCTGTATTGATTTAAGGATGTGGCTGTACCCTTGTTTTTCTTGTTCTGTTTTTGTTGATTTTTCACCAGTGATTAATTAGCTCCACATTTGTTATAAAAATAAGAGGAAAGGTACGATAAATTATATTAAAACATACTAGAGAGGGGGAACACCAAAGAACAATTTTTGTATCTCATGGGTTCAGTATTCTCAAAGTGGACGTTATGTATACTTTCAGGAGTGGTGATATTCAGAGTTAGGATTTGAGTGAGACTTGTAAGATGAGAATATTGCATTACCTTTTGCTGCCACTATGGGAAGTATTTGAGAGAGATTGCTATACCTATTTTAGAAGCTGTGATCAGCTCTGGTTAAAAAACAAATACATCCCAACATGCTACAGTTAGATATCTCTAGAACAATGGCAGGCTTGTTGATACAATTTGCATATTGTATTAGACACAAGACAAACTTATTGGTCACAAGAGAGAAGCCTTTTGTGGTTGGATCAGTCAATATGTATAAAGAGATTATTCCACAGCAGTTTTATAATGGGGAAGTAATGTGTGCCCTCCATGAAGTATCATCAATTGGTTTTTGTTTATTTGTTTTTTTGTTTTATTTTGGTTTTGAGACAGGAAGTAGCACACACCTTTAATCCCAGCACTCAGGAGGCAGAGGCAGGCGGATTTCTGTGAGTTCGAGGCCAGTCTGATCTACAGAGTGAGTTCCAGGACAGGCTCCAAAGCATCATGGCTTGTAACACGTGGTTGAGAATCTCTGGAACCATTTAATAGTTCCTTACTGATGTTGGTGAAAGAAAGCCTTATTTTGATTTTATACTTGTCTGCTTCAATTCCCATCACTGGAAGCATGAGGGCAAGCACAGGGGAACAGTGAAGGAGGAGATGACAGTAAAGTAAAAATACTATGTGTTTTCTTAGTTGAGACATGCTTCCTGTTTACCCACATAAATGTTGCAGTTGAGTTGTTTTTAGGTTTTGTATGACATTCAAACAGTGATGTAGCTACTATCTCCTTGATCTTTGATGGAGAACTGTAGTTGAAGTTGACCTTGTCATTTAATTTTTATGGAGCAGAAATACAAAAAAGAAACAGCTGTCAAGTTTGTTGACTTAGTCGATCTTCCAGGTGTTTCTGTGACACTGTAAATGGAAACCACAAATCCAGTTTGCTTTTTATGTTGGTTGTTCAGCTCTGCAAGTTGTTCCTGATCCATGGTCCTAAAATTAGAAGGCTTTGTATTATAGTAGATGCTGTTGTTTCTCCCTCTCATCAGTCTTTGAGTAGCAGTTTCTCCAGTCAAATAACCCATTTTATCCTACTAATTTGTATAGGAAAAACATCCCACCCATCTTTTTCTTAGGGGGTTCCTGTTGCTTTTACAAGAATTTCTCAATACACAGTATCTCAAGAAGCCATCCGCTGTTATACACTGCTTTATTTATATAAGGTTTCTTCCACTTTCTGTATATCAGAAACTATGGCTATTGGTGGTGATGTCTTAAGTTATGCTGAGTAGTGAATATATTTGCATAGACATTGGCTTTATTTTCTGTTACTTTAGGGTTGTGTAAAAAGTTATTTTCATGCCTGTATACTTGAACCACCTTGAAATAAAACAGTGTTCTCTAGAAAAGACCTTAGTGAGTCTTTTGCATATGAAAAAAACTTTATAAAACATTCATTTAAACATATTACTACGTCAAACTCTCCAGTGGTTTGGGTTATTTTACCAAAGTATTTGATGCACTGGAATGGTTTTACTACTATCTTGTTTGAATGGGTGTTTTGCCTGCATACATGACTGTCCTAGTTAGGGTTTCTATTGCTGTGAAGAGACATCATGACCATGGCACTCTATTTTATGTATGAGTGAACCTTGACACTCTTATAAAGGAAAACATTTAATTAAGATGGCAGCTTACAGTTTCTGAGGTTTAGTCTATCAGGGGGTATGGTGGCCTGCTGGTAGACATGGTGCTTCTGGTAGACATGGTGCTGGAGGATGCCACATCTTCATCCAAAGAAAACAGGAAGTGAACTGTCTCACTGGGAGTGGCTTGAGCATATGTGAGACTTCAATGCCTGCCTCCATAGTGACACTCTTCCTCCAACGAGGCTACAGTTCTTTATAGTGTCATTCCCTTTGGGGGCCATTTTCTTTTAAAGCACCACAATGACTAATTTAGGTTTTTAATTGATTGTTTTTAGATACAGGGAATTAAGTGGGAACTAGAGACACGATTTAAACAAACAACTTGAATAAGGACACTAAAGAATGGCTGGTCATTATTGTTAGGAATAAAGCGGGTAGGGAAGGCATGTGGCAGGTCCTGCTGTGGTGGTGGACAGTGGGAGAATGGGAAACAGACCTGTAGATGTGACTCATATTGAAAGTTTTATTGAGGAGAAGGTAAGAAAGTAAGGGGAGGGAAGAGAAAAGAGGTAAAGAGACATAGACAGAGAGGACAGAAGGGATGGGGGAGACAGAAAAGTCCTGCCTGCCCCTTCAGAGGAAATCAGGAAAGAGAGAACTCGAGTGGAGTTTTTCTTTTAAAGAGCCAGGGTACATAGACCTATCATGATCAGGTGGGTGAGAGGCAGGGCCAGGTTTGCCTGGGTTACAACAATTATGCCCTGGTCAAAGTGGAGCTCAAAGAACTTTCCTGTCTAATAGTAACAGAGAAGGAGCTATATTGTCATGGATTTTACCAATTTATTTACCTATTTAAACTTTATACTGTGTGGTACCTCACATCTATAGTCTCACAACTCAAGAGGCTCAGGTAGGAGGGTTGTTGTGAATTTGAGGCCAGTTAGGCTGCAGAGTGAGATTCTGTCTCAAAAAGAAACAACTTTGTGATCTACATGTTTATGATTTGTCAGATTTTTTTTCCTTGACTGTACTAGCACTGTGGTAATTTCACTTATTTAAACTGAAGGATTCCTTAGGGCACGTTTTTCAAATGTCAGTATTATCTTAGAAGGGTTTTTGAACTGCACAGCAGTATTTCTGATCCAGTAATTCTACTGTGAACCTAGAAGTTTGCACCTCTTAACAGGTATAAAGATGATGCCAGTACTGTCACTCTGTAGGCAGCTCACTGAGAGCCACTGTGGGACATACTGATGTCTACATCACCAGCCAGTCTGTGTGTATTCAGTGAGCGCCCTGGGACTCTCAGCTGGTGCCTCAGTGCCCGTTTAACACTCTGCTCTCTGCCTTCATAGATTGGAGCCTATGATCAACAAATATGGGAAAAATCTGTTGAACAGAGAGAAATCAAGGTAACAACTTTGTTTCATTCTATTTATTTTGCAGCAATTCTATAAGTTGACTGTCACTTTGTCATTCCATTTATTTTTACCGTATTAGTTAATCTTTATCTGAATTTTAAGAGAGAAACCTATGATTTTATAGGTTTACCTTTTAATTGTTTTGTTTTACTTTTTAGCATCTTTTGTTCTGTTTAAATTTAATTTCTAATGGTTAGCTTTTGCCAGCTTTCCCCCTTTCTCTTGTCACCTTATACTTCTAGTTTGCTTTTCCTCCTCTTTGATTGCTCTGGACAGTTTATTAGACTGGTAAGTGTTCAGGATGTTCACCACCTAGTGACTCTGCAGATGACGCTTTGCTTAATAGAGATCGCTCGTTGGTACTACTAACAGCGTGCAGAGAGTTGCTGAATTTTAAAAGAGCTTTAGGAAATAGAATAGTTCAAATGCTTTGATTGCAGGCATTTTCTTCCTGGACATGTGACTACTTGTCTTATTCTGATTGGATATTCTCACAGACTATCTTGCTAGCATGAAAAGAAAAAGTTTTAAAGCTAAATTTGTTTCTTTGCCTTCTTTGATAATAAAATTTATATATTTTTCATATGCTTAGCTACTAATCAGTATGTTCTTGCACGAGCTAAATTTAATTTGGGCCTAGAGACTGTTACTGTAGTCACTTGCCATTTTCTATTTAATATAGAAATATATTAAAAACTAGTATCTATAGTTACTTAAAAATCTGTTCAAAAGATTTGTTGCTGTTCAGACCATATCGTCTATGAGATAGGAGATCATTCTTTGATACTTAATAATTTTAATCTTTTAAGTTTTTTATGAAGAATTTATACATTCATTTAGCAAAGTTCTGGCATATTTTTAAAATGGGATTAAAGGTTACTAGGTCAGAAAGATAGAGAAGCTATAATTTTGTAGGTCAGGTCTTTTATTATGAATGAGATAAAACCAGTGAAGAGATAGGCATACGTGTTCACTCTCTACAGGGTAATGTAAAAGGAAGATGTGTGAGGTTAGGAAAATTTCATAGACAAAGCATCTTATGAAAGGAATTTGATACATTGTCCTCAGTCAAAGGAAAGACATTCCAGACAGACAAAGGGCATTAGGAAAATATTCAGGAAGGAAAGGAGGAGGGAGGAAGACTGAGTAAGGAACCCTTGAGAATTTGATTTAGCAATTGGGTCGGGGAAGGCGATGAGGATGTTAACAGGAAGTCAGAAATAAAAATGTCAGTGTATGGTTAGGTTTGAAACCTACCCCAAGGACTTAGCCATAACTTTGTAACAGTTGGGAGGATACTGAAATATTTAAAGCAGAAAATTAAAATTACATTTTTATAAATTCTTTCAAGAGTGATCAATATGATAGGAAGTATTGAAAGAGAGATTTAAAATTGCTTTAGGAATAGCCGGGGAGTCCTTGGTATGCAACATTTGTGTATGTATAGGCATGTGTATATTGTATATATTAAGTATTATATGCACATAAATTGAGTGTTTTACATCATATATAGAGTCTATAAGTAAAAAGAATTTTATTGGTGAGGGAAGAAAATGATCAAGAAGAGAACAATGAGAAATACCAGTATTTAATGAGTACTTGAAGAAGGAAGGAAACATGGGAATTAATTCCATTAGCAGGCATTCTGGTGGTGTGAAGAACTCAAAGTGAAGGGCCATAGAGATGGTGATTAGTGGTTAAGAGATCTGGCTGGTCTTCCAAAAAGAGGGCTTAGATTTGGTTTCTAACACACCCCAGTGCCACTCTCTTTGCCTTCCATGGACATTGAATGTACAAAATAGACATACATGCAGGAGAAGCACAGAATGAAAATCAGCATTGAGCAAAGAAGAATATGAAGAGGAGGAAGAGGGAGAAGAAGAGCTGGAGCAGGTGAATGAAAGTAATTCCAGAGCTGCCATTTCTCAGTCTGAGAATAGGAATTTTAAAAAGTGCAGAGAAGGCTGCAGAGCAAATAGAACCTGTCTCACACCAGCGTGGCAGTGCACATTAGTGTAGAACCTGTCGCACACCGGTGTGGCAGTGCACATTAGTGTAGAACCTGTCGCACACCGGCGTGGCAGTGCACATTAGTGTAGAACCTGTCGCACACCGGTGTGGCAGTGCACATTTAAAAATTACTATGGCCAGTACAGAAAATTAACAAAACTAAATCCAGGGGAAATAGTGTATATCAAGGAAATATCCAGTCTACATTCTTTGGACTGCACATGTGAAAGGACAAAAACACAGAGAATGTATGTTTGAGTATAAACAGTAGTGAATGAACTTGCAATTATAGAATGTGAAGACACGAGGTCACCTGTATGAAAATGCTGGTATTCTGTTGTTATATCTCTGGGTAGCTTACAGCTTGTAATGGACAGAACATGTGAAGGGGTCAAAGGCTAATAGCTTCTTGACTCAAGGTACACTTTTGGTTTAGACATGTTAGCTAACTCTGACTTACCCTGTCCTCTTGCTTGATTTATATGCAAATAGTTCTTAACCTTCAGGGGCCATTGTCACCGTGGTGGGACCAAAGGACTACTGCACAATTGCTAATTGAACAAATAATTTAACAGTCCTTTAAACCCGAGTGTCATCCCTGTCTCTTGGTTCCTGAGAACTTTAGTCTGAGTTTATCTGGTTCTCAACTTAGTGTAATTTATTTCCCCATACTTTTGTTTACACCACTGATTTTTTTTTTTTTTTTTTTTTTTTTTACATTCAACCCCACTCTGCAGTGATAGCAGAAATTTGGTGTTAATTAAAATACAGTAATTTCAATTTTAAATTAATTCAATTTATGACAGCTGTTTTCCCTGCCCCCGTTCCTGGTCATAGCATTTAGTTCTGAGGCGAAGAGGTGACATTACAGTCTGAGCAGTGGCTGGGGGCTTTTCTGGTATCACCCTACATGCTAGCATATGCTGAGAAATTTGCAGCCCTGTCTTCCTCAGCAGCACTCCCAGCATCCCATTTGGAGTGCCTTTGGGGACACTACTCCTCACTCACCCTCACTACTTTCTTAATGGCAGACTAAGGCCAACAGTCTTCTAGGTTGTGTAGGGCGTAGGCTGTATGCTCATACTTGCTTGGTGTATGACAATCTTTGATTTGGAAGTTTACTTTCTATAACAAACAGGCTCTGCATGTATATATATCCCTAAACATTCCTTTTGGAAAATAATGAAATTATTGGAATGCTATAATTGTGTTCTGTTTGTAACACAATACAATCTTTTTACTTAATATGTTACTTCAAGATTTTATTTTAAATTGAGACTGGTATAAGTTGGTTCCCTTTTTGCTGTTTTGGATTTAAACAAAATATACGTAGAATTACAATACTGCTTTTGATATATTATAGGGGTTAAGGAATAAACCAAAGAAAACTGCACATGTGAAACCGGACCTCATAGATGTTGATCTTGTGAGAGGTAAGTCCTAGATAAGTGTGTGTTCCTGAAGAGACAATTCAGAATGGGTTAGATAGGCACCTTTGTAGAAGTAAAGGTATCCTAATCTACCTGAGAACAGAATAGCATAATTAAGAGAAATTAGAAACACCAATTTATCTTTTCTACCTTGAAATAACAGTTTTTGTTTGCATAGAAAACTGTTAAGGATTTAATATTAAATTTAAGTTATAGCTGGGTGTTGTGGCAGATGGCTGTAACCCCAGCACTTAAAACAAACAAACGAGTGAATGAATGAATGAATGAATGAATGAATGAACAAAAGAATGAAAGCAGGGTTAAATTTGGTAGCCCTGTGTGATAGAGAATTGAACTGTGTAGATCATGCTTGCCTCTGCATCTTGGGTGCTAGAAGATACATTCTTGCATATGGAAGCTGGAGTGTGACCTTCAGTGACTTCCTGTACTGTTTCCCACTTTATTTACTGAGCCAGTGTCTCCCTTAGCCCAAACTTCTCTGATGCTGTGACCCTTTAATACAGTTCCTCATGTTGTGGTGACCCCCAAACATAAAATTATTTTTGTTGATATTCCAAAACTGTTGTTTTGCTGCTGTTATGAATCATAATGTAAATACCTGACATTCAAGATAGCTGGTATTTGACCCCTGTGAAAAGGTCATTCTACTCCCAAAGAATGACAGCCTGCAGGCTGAGAACCCTGGCTTAGAGCTTTCAGATTTAGCTTGTTTGCCCCAGGCAATCCCGTGTCTGGTTCATGGCGCTGGGATTTTAGGTTTGGTCACTCACTGCCAGGCACCTAAATTCTAGTCCTCAGCTTTAAGTGAGCCATCTCCTAATGAATTAAAATAAGTCCTATTTTTATGAAATATGTATGGGGAATCCTGTTATCTCAGCTGGTTATTTTCTTCAAGCTATCTTTGGAGTATGGTAATGAATAAGATTGCTTTTGAAAATGACTGCTGTCCTATATTAGATATTTTTTAGTCATAGAATGAAATAAAATTATATACCAATGCTTTTCAAACATTGAATTTATTTCTGTAGTGAAATTAAAGAATAGTAGGTAGAGTCTGCCATTTATTTTACTTTTTTTCTCAGGGTCTGCGTTTGCTAAGGCAAAGCCTGAAAGTCCTTGGACTTCTCTGACTAGAAAAGGAATTGTTCGAGTTGTATTTTTTCCCTTCTTCTTCCGGTGGTGGTTACAAGTAACATCGAAGGTCATCTTTTCCTGGCTTCTTGTCCTCTATCTTCTTCAAGGTATAATTAACAGAAATGTATGTGCTTCTAACTTTTGGGACATTGTATTTTTACGATTTTTAAAGGTTTGCTCTGAACATGTACCAATTGTTCCTGTGCATGAAGTGACTGTTGCTGTTACATACAAACTACTAGACATTAAAACATTGGAGGGCTGGTGAGATGGCCCAGCAGACCGTGAGGCTTGTTGCCAACTCTGACAGCCTGGTTTTCCTGTATGGAGGCTTGTCAGAGGGAGAGGACCAATGACCAAAAGTTGTTCTGGGACCCCAAATATACTCTCTGTAAGGGGGAGGGGGTGAGGGAGTGTAATTAGACGAAAACTTTTGTATCCACACATAGATATACAATTGTGTCTGTGTAGCTGATGCTGACCTTGAAGTATGGCTTTAGTTTCTGAGTTAAGATCATTGCTGGAGGGCATCATGCCTGCGCATCCTTGTACTTAATTTATTTTTGATATTACTTGTGCAAATTAATTTTTATTGCCTAATGTATGGTTTTATTTTTCTGTGCCCTTTACCACTGTGATCTGACCTATCCTTATTTTATATCAGAACTTTAGTTTTTATCATAAAGTCTTTTAAGTCTTTCTCAGATTCCTATTTAATGTCTTCAATAACCCAGTAGTGTAGAAAGACTGTTATGATGTCTACCTATGTAGACTTGGCACTTGAAAACCCCGAGGCTCTCAGACCTCACTTCTCCCATGTAGTCACCAAGAGTTCAGATCTAAGCATTCTGACCCCTTGGCCACAGAAACACTCTCACAGAAACACTATTACAGAGTGTTTCTGTGAAAATGCACTGGATGACATTTCTGAAATTTCACCTGGTATTATCTGTGTCTTCTGATTTTTTTAAAAGGGGATTTGGTTTGTGTATATGAATGTTTTGCTTATATGTATGTGCACCATATGCATGTCTGGTGCTGCGGAGGTCAGAAGAGGGCATTTCCCCGCTGGCCTGAAATTCACTTTGTAGACAGCCTGTCCTTGAATTCACAGAGATCAGCCTGCCTCTGGCTCCTGAGTGCTGGGTTTAAAGGTGTACGCCACCACACTTGGCAACATAGAATAACATTTTAAATTTTAGGAAAAGAATTTAGTAAGAAGTATTATGAGAACAATTTTTAAAGTTTTGAAAAAGTGACTACAGATCCATAATTAAATGTATTTTCTCTCTCCATTTGTAGTTGCTGCAATAGTATTATTCTGTTCCGCTCCTAGCCCACATAGCATACCTCTAACTGAAGTGATTGGGCCAATATGGCTGATGCTGCTCTTGGGGACTGTGCATTGCCAGATTGTTTCAACAAGAACACCCAAACCTCCTCTAAGCACAGGTGGTAAAAGAAGAAGGTACTGCTTGTCCACAAACTGATCTTTATAGATACCTGTTATTTAGATAAGGGATTTTTATTTGTGTATGTGCATGCATGTGTGTGTGTCTGTATGTCTGTGTGCCGGCCCAGGTGCCCATAGAGACTAGAAAGGCATAAATCCCCTGGAGGTGGAATTGCAGGTGGCTGGGAAGTGCTGGATGTGGGTGCTGGGCATGGAACCTAGGTCCTTTTCAAGAGCAGCAAGCGCTTTCAACCAGTGAATCCCACTCCAGCCCTTGGGATTGATCTTAACTACTCATAATAGAATACAACTTTTAAAAGTTGCTCTTTCAGATAAAACCCAAACTCCAGTCAGTTACCAGATGATCAATTTTCTGTATATGTGTCACATACATGTTCTTGTATAGTCATCTTTGTTAGTTTGTTTTTCTTGAGGTTCATTTCTAGTTAGCAGTGCCAATATAGGAAATAGATGGTATAATAGGTGGTATAAATTAAATTTTACTACTGAGAAAATCTTGTGTTTCTAAGATTGTCTTGCAAAGATAGAGCCAAGAAAAATAAAAGGCTGTTAATTACATGTTATTTGAATTTGTTTGATAGTGCCTAATGATGAGTACATATACATATAGTAAGTTTTGCTATTGGCTCCTGAGCACAGTGCAGTTTTGTTTTAAATAGACTTTGGGACAATACTTTTTTCTTTTTTTTCGAATATTATTGCTGAGACATGTGGCATTTGGAATTTAGGGGTGATAAGATTTAAGTCCATCTCGTTTTTGAAAGGTAACATCTGCATTAGGTAAATGACTTAGGTTATAATTCTCTCCAGTCTAAAGTTTTCTTCATCTACAGAGAAGTGACATTCACATAGGGAAGCAATGCTCTTATAAGCATCTTTCCAGTGCAATACATATAATAGTGTGTACATTGACTGCCAATGGGAATATGGGCAAGGGACAGCAGCATCCTTGTCTTTATAGAAATACTTGAAATATGCAGTATGATGTATGGTTTAAACTCTACCTAGCACAGTTGAATTTCATTGTAAATTAATAAGCTCCTGTGTATGTTCTGTAAATTTTGGAATGTGCTACAGAGACAATAGTTGTTCAAGTCTTAAACTGCCTCCCATTCTCAATCTTTTCTGACAAAGGAAATTAAGGAAAGCAGCTCATCTGGAAGTACATAGGGAAGGAGACGGCTCCAGTACCACTGACAACACCCAGGAGGGCGTGGTGCAGAGCCACGGTGCAGGCGCCTCCTACAGTGTCGGTGCAGTCTTCAGAGATCTCTGGCATGCTGCTTTCTTTTTATCAGGGTTTGTATTCATTCAAGGCTTTATATGACATAAAGATTCTCTAATTCTAAATCAGAGTGCTACAGTTTAAGGAGAAATAGGATAAAGTTTGGGGTTATGTGTAAATATATTTAACTCCACGGGAGTGAGTATGTACAAGCAAAGTGTGGTAAAGTTTACTCTATTTCTATTTCTCTCTGTGTGTGTGTGTCTATTTCTCTCTCTCTCTTCCTCTCTCTCCCTCCCTTTATTATCCCCAAGGAACAGGTCTCTCTGTGTTATCCTGGCTGGCCTGGAACTTGCTCTGTAGACCAGGCTGTCTTTGATCTCACAGGGATCTGCCTGCCTCTGTCCCCTGAGTGATGGGATCAAAGATGCATGTGTCCACTGCCCAGCTAGAGGCATTGCTTTCTTTCCTTTCCTTTTTGTTTTTCATTTATTTATTTTTAAGATTGGACTTTTAAAATTTTTTTCTCAAGTATTATTTTAATGCTAATTAGTTCAGTGTTTATCAGTATTGTAGGTCAGAATTTGCTTTAATACACCATGTATCTTGCATTACTTTCTAAGATTATTTGAAATAAATACTTTGAGTTGAGTGAATAAACAATGTACTAACTATAGTCTAAAGTTCATTTGTTTACTGGGGTTTTGTATCTTTTGTACCATCAATGAGACCAGAGCCGGTTGGGTTGTTGACCATCAATGAGTATTGACCAAATAGGCAAAAATATTTGTAGCAGACTTCAAAAGTAAGTTAAACCCAGATCAATATATATTATTAATACTTTGAATACTTAGTTCAAACAGTTAAGAGTTATGAGACTGGTTTACACATGGCATTGCATAAATTAAAAAAAATAGTTAAAAGCTGTGGCAGTACTTGAAGGTATTAGATCAATGAAGAAAAGAGATACTGCAAATAACTTCCCTGTTTTAGGACAATAACTTTGCTAGCTACTTCACAAAATTTTCTTTAGTTTGTATTTGTGCTTTTATGATAAAGTTTATCTTGTGTTAAGCAAAATGTATCCTGTGCTAATTTTTGAATGATTTCCTAGATCATTTTGATAGTCAGCAGTAGCATGGCACTTGTTCCCTAAGAGAGGAATTTGTTTTTATTTGTTTTTAATTTGGACTCCTCTTCTCTCTCGTTTTGTTTTTCTATTCTAACAGATTTTTATTCATAGGATGCAAAAGTTTAATCACTACAAAGTCAGTTTCTTAAGTATTTCTCAATACTTTCAGATGAGCAATTATAAATAGCAAAGTTAGATATATTTAGTTCTCAAGGAATCCATTAGTTGTTTTGTTCTCTATAGTTGATATTGTTGTTGTAGACACCATTTAAATTGGTTTCTTTAACAGTTTTCCTTGTTTTTCTATTCCAACGAGTCCTAGACTTCAGTATTCTTTTTGTTTATTGGTTCATAGCATGAAAATGGCCAGGATAGCAAGTCATTGATAGTATAGTGTCCAATTCCCTTGGGATTGACCCTGTTTAGTTGTTACCACTCTAAACATGAAGCACTTTTCTCTGTCTCCCTTAGGATTTGGTTTGCCAGCATATGACATACAGGTCCTAGGAGAAATGTGCTGAATTCTGATAACCTAGTTTCTAGAAGAGGGTTCTAGCTTCTCTGGGGTTGTGGATTGTAGGCTGGGTATCATTTGCTTCTTATCTGCTATCCACTTATTAGTGAGTACATACTGTATTTGTCTTTCTGGTTCCTAGTTACTTCATTTAGGATGCTTTTTTTCTACTTCCATCTATTTGCCTGCGAATTTTAGGATGTCATTGTTTCTGACCACTAAGTAGTACTCCATTGTGTAAATATACCACATTTTCTTTATCCATTCTAAAGTTGAGGGACCTCTAGGTTGTTTCTAAGATCTGACTATTATGAATAATGTTGTTGCTATGAACATAGTTGAACAAATGTCCTTGTGGTGTGAATGTTCCTCCTTTGGGTATATGCCCAAAAGTTATAATGCAGGACCTTGAGGTAGGTTAATCACTAATTTTCTGAGAAATCACCATACTTAATTTCCACAGTGGCTGTACAAATTTGCACTCCCACCAGCAATGGAGGAGTGTTCACATTTCTCTACATCGTCTCCAGAATAAATTGTCATTGGTGGTTTTTATTTTAGCCATTCTCATTGGTGTAAAATGGAATCTCAGATTTGCTTTGATTTGCATTGTTTAAAGTGTCTTTACACCATTTGAGTTTGCTTTATTGAAATTCTCTGTTTAGGTGTATACCCCATTTTTTAATTGGATATTTTGGTAATTTGATGACTAAGTTTTGATGTTCTTTGTATATTTTGGTGATTAGCCCTTTATCAGATGTGGGATTGGTGAAAATGTTTTCCATTTTGTAGGGAGCCATTTTGTCTTGCTGACCATGTTCTTGCTTTACAGAAGCTTCTCAGTTTCAGGCAGTCCCATTTATTAATTGTTGATCTCAGTGTCTGTGCTACTGGTGTTCTATTTAGGAAGTGGTCTCCTGTGCCTATGTGTTCAGATGTATTTCCCACTTTCTCTTCTATGAGGTTCAGTGTGGATTACTTTATATTGAGGTCTTTGATTCATTTCAGCTTGAGTTTTATATATGGCAATATATATGGATCTATTAGTATTTTTCTACATGCTGACAGTCAGTCATACCAGAACAATTAGTTGAATATGCTTTCTTTTTTTCCATGTTATATTTTTAGCTTCTTTGTCAAAAATTAGGAGTGGGTTGATATCAGTCTTCAATTTGATTCTCTTGGTTCACCTGTCTGTTTTCATGCCAATACCAAGCTGTTTTCATTACTATAGTTCTATAGTAGACCTTGAGGTCCAGGATGGTGATGCCCCCAGATTATCCTTTATTGTACAGGATTGTTTTGACTATCCTGGGTTTTTTGTTTTTTTTCCATATGAAGTTGAGTATTGCTCTTTCAAGGTCTGTGAAGAAGTGTGCTGGGATTTTGATGGAGATTGCACTGAATCTGTAGATTGCTTTTGATAGGATTGCCATTTTTACTATGTTGATCATACCTATCCAAGAGCATGGGAGATCTTTCCATTTTCTGATAATCTTCTTCAATTTCTTTCTTTAACAACTTGAAGTTCTTGTCATATGTACCTTTCACTTGTTTGGTTAGAGTTACCCTAAGATAGTTTGTATTATTTGTGGCTGTTTCTCTGATTTCTTTATCAGCCCTTTTGTCATCTGTATATAGGAGGGCTACTGATTTTTCTTTTTTAATTAATCTTGTATCCTACTACATTACTGAAAGAATTTATCAATTGTAGGAGTTCTCAGGTATAGTTTTTGGGGTCACTTATATAAACCATCATAACATCAGCAAATAGAGTTTGACTTCTTCCAATTTGTACCCCCTTGATCTCCTTTTATTTATTTATTTATTTATTTATATTTCTATAGCTAGAACTTTGAGTACTGTGTTGAATAGATATGAAGAGAGTGGACAGCCTTGTCATATTCCTGATTTCAGTGGGATCACTTTAAGTTTCTCTTTAGTTTGATGTTGGCTGCCTTTATTACGTTTAGGTATGTTCCTTGTATCCCTATTCTTTCCAGTACATTCATCAAGAAGGGTTGTTGAATTTTGTTGAAGGCTTTTTTTAGCATTTAATGAGATGAGGATTGATCTCCTTTTAGGCTTCTGTCTAGGGCAAGTAGTGCTGTTCAGTGGTAGAGCACTTAAAATGAAGGCAAGAAGCTGGCTTGGATATCTAACTCTGCAGGACTGACTGTGTATGTGAAGATTTGCACTTCTATTGTTTATAACACATAAGTGAAAGTTAAAGATTTAATACATTGATTTTATTTATGGAATTAAATACACTGCATAATATAATTTAGTTCCACCAGAAAATTTCAGTACAAGTATTAAAATTTGGCCCTTTTTTTAATGTAGTTGTAGTTGTAGTAAAGCAGGTACTCAGCCTTCTTCAGACAAGAAGAAAAGAGTTTGCTTGTCTGCATATCCTAGATTGTTAAGGCTGTCTGGATATAGACAACTCATTAAACTTAGATTTTAGAGTAGGATGATTTTTTGAGCAAGTTCTTTAAAAGTTGTACCAACTTGTGGACTGAAGTTTTCAATATGAAAAATATAATAGCATTATTTATAATATAATCACTTATTTCACAAAGGAAGTAAGGATATTAAATTACTGTATTTTGAAGGTTCTCCTCCCTCCCCAAGTAACTTTGATACAGGACTTCTTAAGTACTAAACAATGCATTGTAGAAAATTCTACAGTTGTCTCACCATGCAGAAATTAAAGAGGTAGGACTGTGAACTTTGGTCATAACAGTGACATTATATATTTTTATGTGTAGAAATTTTTGTTTAAAAATCCATTTAATAAAATAGCTGATTTTATTTCTTAATAAAAACCATATTTATTAAGTACTAGTCATATTAGGCATTATCCTGCTTCCTGGGAACAGAGCACTGAAGCTGATGGCCTTAGAGATGAGTTGGACATAATCCACCCAAACAGAGTACTGTCAATATAAAGAGTGTCTTAGGATGGAGGTGGATGCTACCAGTGCCTTTGTGAAGGTGGACCTTCAAAGTGAGTTTTAACAAGTAATTGCATACAATTAGTTCTTGGGAAATGGATAAGGTCATTTCTTCACATTGTCCCATCAATCAATATATGGAACTATATGAAATTAAAGAGTTCTGGATAGCAAGGGAAACTGTCAGAGCAAATAGACAGCCCACCGACTTGGAGAAACCTTTTCTAGTTAATCATTCCACAGGGTTGATGTCTAGAGTATATAAAGACCAACAAAAACAAACACCAAAACAAAAAGCTGCCCATCAGTAAATCTCATGAAATGACCAGTCAGTTTTCAAAAGAAGAATCAAATAACCAGTTGCTTTTATTTTTAAATTCAACATCCTTAGCTTCTAGGAAAAGGCAAATTAAAACAACTGGAGTTCCCATGTCAAGAAGACAAATGCTTCCAAATCTTCGGGGAATGAGGGACCCTTCTCTACTGTTGGTGACAGTGTTAGCTGTAGACAAGAGGTCTGTCCTGCCTGGTCCTGCAGTCCCAAAAAACAGAGTCTTATATTAATTATAAACCGTTTAGCCAATGGCTCGGGCTTCTTATTGGTTAGCTCTCTCTTTAATTATTATCCTATTTCTATTAAACTATGTGTTGCCATGAGGCTATGGCTTACCCATAGTGCTCTGGCATGTTTCTCCTTTGGCAGCTACATGACATCTCTGGTGACTCCTCTCTTCATTCTTCCTAGCTTTTTCCTAATGTGGTAGCCCTGCCTATACTTCCTGCCTGGCTACATCCTGCCTGTCCATTGGCCGAAACAGCTTTATTCATCAGCCAAATAAGACACACACACACTATACAGAAGGACATCCCCCACCATCTCCTCTGTTCTGTCTAAATAAAAAAGGAAGGAACTAACTTTAGCATATTAAAATTATATATAATAAAACAGTTTCAAGTAAGAATCATAGTTAACAATATTTAGTCTGTTAACATTTGACAAAATTTAAAGAAAATATTGTAACACCTGTCCTGTCTTTGCGAGTATAAAAGTTGTATGTGTAATTTATCATAACTAAGGAAAACCCAAACCGTAACTCTCTGCCTTCAACTCCATCTGTTAGCTGTTGCAGCCACTACGAACATCAGTGTGGCGATTCCTTCAAAACTAAAAATAGAACCACTGTGATCTAGCTGTACCACCTCTAGGCATATTCCCAAAGAATGCAGCCTTGTCATTTAAAGGTACTTACACACACTTGTGCATAGCTGCATTATTCACAGTCGCAGAAATGGAACCAGCCACATGTCTGTTAAAAGAAGAATGAAAAATGAAATCGTGCCATTCATTCCATTCGTAATGGAACTTTTGTTTGGCTGTTAAGAAAAATGAAATTTTGAGGAAAATGGATGGAAATACAAAGGATTATAGTAAGTAAGGTGACTCAGTCTCAGATTAAAAATGCATATCTGTCTCATGTGTGGATTCTAACTTTTGAAATTTACATGAATGTAAATAAGGGAGTATAAAAGCGGATATAGACTAAAATGAGATGGGACCACAAGAAGAACATTGAGAAATGGGAAAGACCAAAGGTCACATATGACATGACAATAACCTGTTATTATAAGACTTTTCCCTTTTTGGCCAAGTAGCCTTTGATTTTTGTCTGAATTATGGTAGTTCTATACGATTATTTTCCCAACTCCATCACGATTCCTTCATTTTTTAGTTGGCATTTTGCTTAAGGTGATGTGTTCCCTTATTTATTTGGGCATCTCTGTTTTGTCACTCTCTTCATTTATTTCACTGTCTCAGTGGACCTGAATTTGACCAGTATCCATGACCACAGTATCTTCTGTGCTCATACATGGGATGCTCCTGGTTCAGCTCGTGCATCCTCCAACCCTGAAAGCAGCCACTTCTTCAAGGAGAGTGGTGTTTAGAAACCAAAATTTGGCTGCAAGATGCTAGTGGGGTTTTCCAAGTGGATAAAAGTATGTTAGGGTGTATTATTCAACTTTGTACCCATGTAGATGAAACATGTCTGTTGTAATATGTGAAATAGGAACCTGCTTACATGTGTATGTGTGCTAGCTATGGATTTTCAGTGATAGCTCCAAGCTCCAATACCACTCAGTGCATTCTTTTTCTTTCTTCTTCCTTCCTTCCTTCCTTCCTTCCTTCCTTCCTTCCTTCCTTCCTTCCTTCCTTCCTTCCTTCCTAAATGTGTATGGGTATTTTATTTGCATGCATGTCTGTGCACAGCTTGCATGCAGTGCCCACAGAGGCTAGAAGAGGGCATTCAATCCTCTGGCACTGTAGTTAGAGACAATTAGCTGTCCTTTGAGTGCTGGGATCTAAACCCAGGTCCTCTGGAAGAGCAACAAATGCTCTTAACTATGGAGCCATCTCTCCAGTCCCATTCTTTTTTCTGTTTCTGAATGTTCTTCATCAGCAACAACACTGATTGGCATTATTCTCGGTATGTTTGCATATACACAGTAAACCTTCTGTGTGTAGATCTTCTGATCGGGATGCATGTGGCATCCTGCCTTCACATGGTTCCCGAAAGTAGCTGCCATTGATTGTTGCCAGCTGCTGTACGTTTGTGTTTTTAGCTGCAAGGATGGTGTTTACATTTATTATTTTCTTCTTGCCATTATAGCTAGTTTAATGATTTATGTGCATTTGCTTATTAAGAACCATCAAACACCTATGAAAGCATAGACTTGCTGTTCACATCTTCTCAGTGTCACATTATTCCGAGAGGAAGCAACTCAAAGACTGGGAGAAGCGTAAAGGAAAGGGAGGAGGTGTTGATCAGTGCTGGAAGGTGCTATGTGGAGTGTGTTCTGTTGCCCATCCTAAGAAAGAGCTGGCTGGAAGGTCAGCATTGGGCTCCAGTGGATTTCTGCTTCACATTGCATGTCTGCAGCCACTGTTTCCTCTTTGCCTGCTGGTTCCCAGATCTGTGTCTTAGCTGCTTGCTGCTCTTGGGGCATTTTCTGTTTCCTTATATACACTTGCCTCGCTTTTCTATCTGACTGATGTATCTACTTTCTACATGTCTTTTACTTCATTGTTTTCTCTTTCCCTTCTCAATCTAGTTCACTTACCATCAGTCTCTCTAACATACTATGAGTTTATTTGAATTTCAGTGTCCTGACTTTTAAATCAACATCTACATTGATAACATAATATTCCTCCCTAGGCTGAGAAGGTACAAAGTCCCTTTCTACCCTTTCTTGATTCCTCTTTTCCCCATCCCCTTTGCACCATAACCTACTTTCTTGATCATTTGCAGTCTGAGGCTTATTTTCTCTGGATTTTCATGTCACTGGGGATCACTGTCTGGGTATGTATGAATGTGAAGCATTGGAACGGATAGTATAGGGCGTGTGGACACATGGTCGCCTGTCTCTGTTAGCAGTTCTGCAGAAGGAGCATGAAGGGAGGGACTTCTTTGTATAAGACAACAGCTTTCTATGCTTTGACAAAATTGCTAGAAGAAATTCTAATAGCATTAAGGGGGTATTGGAAGTACTGTGGAGAACATAAATCATCTCATATTTAGGAACTATTTTTTGTATTGTAGTTGGCTTTCAAACAGGCTGTGTTGTTTCACCTGTAACATCTTTGTTTCTCTTTGATTCCAAAATCAGCAATAAAGTAGATGAGTTCTAAGGCTCTACCTAGTTCTCAGATTTTTTTAATTAATTAAAATTAATTTTAAAAATTTAATTAGTATGCAAGGTATTATATGTCATTTTTGAAGTGCTTGAGATGATTCTTTGTCCTGCTTATCCATGCCATCTGCCTGTACCTCCAGCCCCTCCCTTTGCGGCCCCTCGCACTGAGTCTCTTCCCTTTCCTGTCCAGAGTGTCCTTCTGCCCACCATTGCTCGGTTCTTAAGCAGGTCTCCATCAGTTTAGTCACTGGGGTTTAGAGTGGACTGCATTGAAAATGCTATCTGTGTGAAGCGCTATACCAGTTTATTTTTCCTTTCTTATAAAATAAACTCTGGAAAAATTCAAGGGGGACTATTTACATAAAATTTCTTTTAAATTGTATTTTATAATAGACTTAATCTACATGGAGCATACGTTATTTTCTGTGGGACTTATCATTTCTACTGAAGGCTTCTGTTGTTAGCTACTTTCACCTCTTGTAATCTTTTAAGACTCAACATTTGCTTGTTAAAAATACTATTTCCTACATTGTAGTTTATAAGTATATTATTCTACAAATCAATATCTTTAATTCTGGCCTTGTATCTTCTCTAAACAACACGGTTGTTGATTATTTTTTCCCAGAGATCTTTTTAGTGGGTGACAGAGGTCATGTCCTCCTTTTATGTTCTCCATTTTGACTTCTGCCAGTGTTTTAACCTTATTGATTAGGTTTTCCTTCTTCATATGTTTTTCTGAGACAAAAGGTCTGTGTTTGTGTTGTACATTAAAAGGAACTTCCATATACTACCATATACTACAGCTAAAATATTTGGGATAGTATTAAGTCACTAATTGCAACTTATCTGATGAATTTACAAAGATAATCTTTTAAAAATAAAAGTTAAAGTACATTAACACTAACAAATTGGGCAAATTTTTTCATTCTAGACATTGTCCAAAGAACAAGCTAGGAATTATTTGGTAAATCGGGGAGCTTTCTTTGAATTGCTATTTGCAAGACCTCAAACTGAATGTGGATTTTAAGTTGAATGGTTATTTTATTTGCTATTATTTCTCATTTACTATTTAAAAAAAGGGTAACCATTAAAATTATGAAAAATACTATCAACCCATCCAGAATAAGCTGCTAAGTACACATAACATTCATATATATTTTGTTTTTAGGTCAAAGAAAGCAAAGAGTTCAATCGACAAGTCAACTGAGACTGACAATGGCTATGTGTCCCTCGATGGGAAGAAGAGTGTACAAAGCAGTGAGGGCAGGCCACGGGACCATGAAGCTCAGTGTGAAACTATCCGACCAGAAAACACAGCCTGGGCCACTGCAGCTCCAAGGAATGTCCCTGCCAAAGTCAGTGTCACTTTTAGAGTTTGTTTGAGTTCATATCTGCTAACATGAAGTGATTCTGATAAAATTGTTGCTCTCAAGTCAAATGTTTTCTCTGCAGTTAATTCTGTGAACTTTATAAATAGTAGCGGTGACATTAAAAATCAAGTACATGTGGCTAAACATGATTGGAAGTAGAATGCGGCACGTTCTGAATCGATTCGCCTGATTTTTTTCAGAATATTGAGGCAACTTGGAATTTATGGTCAGTGTTTATTAACCTTCCCGTCTTCTTCCCATTTTCATATGTGTGAAAGGATGTGTACTAAGCTGAGGCCCTCGGTTGTTCTAAAAGCTCAACTAGGCAAGGAAAGAACCTATAAGAAAATACCTTACTTTCTCTACACTAATGACTTTTGTTTTTATGCATCTGTTTAGTTAATATTTGATCTGAAAACTTTTCTCTAAAATAGGACTTTTTGGTTGATTCAGTAGTTTGTTTTTTTTTCTTTTAATAGGGTTTAGTGTACATACAGTTAACTTATGTTCTTGTCATTTTCTGTTTTGAAATGTACAATAGTTTGTCAACCATAATTAGAGAAAATAAGCTATCCTCTTATCCATTTGTAGCCTCTGTGTTCCTCAGCCTCTGTCTGTTCATCCCCCTAGTTGTGGTAACTACTGTTTCAGTATATTCCCATCCCCCATTTGTCTGTCTGTGTATCATACTGTGTAATGGTGTACATTATGAGCCTTTGTGTGTCTGACTTATTTCCAGTTGTTTTTTTTTTTTTTTCTTCAAATGACAAAAATCTGTTGTATTTATGGACTGAATAATAATCTACCCTTTTATCAATAATTAGTTGAGGTTATAGTGGCTCTAGTATATGTTATTGGTGCTTTTGTGAAGGATCTTTTGTGGTTCTGCATAGAGTTTTGGTATTCTAGTTTTCTGAAGCATGTTATTGGAATGAGACAATGGTCACCCTCCCCACTGTTATTCATTATAATGCTTCATGTCTTAGCTACAGTAATAAGACAGGAGAAAGCTATGAAAGGGATTAGAATTGGAAAGGAAAAGTTAAATTTAGCCCTATTTGCAGATGGCATGAGTCCATATTTAAAAGACACCATGGACTCTAACCAGAAAACCTTTAGATCTGATAAACAAGAAGTTTCAGGATACCAGATTAACATACAGAGCTCAGTAGCTTTTGTATATAGTAGCAACAAACTTGCTGAGGAAGAATATCCCATTGAAGATAGTTTCTACAGTGAAAACTTAAGACACCATAAAAAGAAACTGAAGAAGACAAAAAGACCTTCTATACTCCTGAATTGACAGCTAGACTACCAAAATAATCTATATTTAATGCAGTTCTCATTAAAATTCCAGGAAATTCTTCATAGAACTAAGTGGAGGGGATCCTAAATTTGTAAGGAAATGCAGAAGACTATGGATAGCTAAAGCAACCCTAAGCAAAAGAATTCTGCCAAAAACATCGTGTTACCCACCTGGCCTCAAACTATAACTTAGCCATAGTGACAAAGCAGCACACGGCTTCCACAGAAACAGACTTGTACACCAAGGGACATCACAGAAGACCTAGAAATCAGCCTACACAGCTGTAGACGCCTCATTAAACTTTATCAATTTGCCCTTTTTATGTATATAATTTATATTTTACTTTATGTGTATAATATGCTTGTATGTATATATGTGCCTCATGCCCTCAGAGGTCAGGAGAAGGCATCATCAGATCCTCTGGAATTAACTAGAGTTACAGATGTTGTGAGCCACCATGAGGGTGCTAGAAGATGAACCTGGGTGTGCTGCAAGTGCTCTTAACTATAGAGCCGTCTCACCAGCCCTGGATGCCTCATTTCTGACAAAGCTGACAAACATGCATCAGAAAACAACCTTTTCAGCGAATACTTCTGGCAAAACTAGATATCTTCCCTCAGAAGGATGAAATTTGATTTATATTTTTCACCCTGCTCAGAAGTCAGTCCAGCTAGACAGTGGTGGTGCACACCTTTAATCCCAGCACTCCATAGGCAGAGCCAGGTAGATGATCTCCAAATTTGAGGCTAGTCTGGTCTCCAAAGCAAGTTCCAGGATAGGTAGGCTACACAGAGAAACCCTGTCTCGGATTCCCCACCCCCCAAAAAAGTCAGTTCAAAATGGATCAAAGAAATTTAAAATTTGAAAAACTGAAACTATCGGGAAAATTCAGGATATAGGTATGGAAAGAACTTTTGGCCTACAACACAAGAAAGTTCAGGAAATAGCTCTAAGAATTGACAAATGAGAACACATGTAATTAAAAAGCTTATGCACAGTAAAAGCAGAGAATAAAGGGAGGCTTTTGAGTAGGAGAAATCTTGACCAGCTAGACTTCAGATGATAGGTATCTGGAGTACATAAAGAATTGTAAAAATCTGCTGCTGCCCCATTAAAAAAACAAAAAAAACAAAAAAACAAAACAAAACAAAAAAACAAACCCAAACTACCAGTAAGTCCGTGGACCAAGGAAATGAATAGACAGTTCTCAAAAGAAGACATACAAATAGCAATAAATATACTAAAATTATACAATATCCATGGCTGCCGTGGGTTCTTTAAAAAACAACCAAACATTAGGTCGAGCTCCAAGAATCTTGAAGAGAGGGAGGAAGGATTGTAGAAGCCAGAGGGGTCAAGAACACCACAAGAAAACACACAGAAACAGTTAACCTGTCTCATAGGAACTCACAGGGACTGACCTGCCATCCAGGGAGCCTGCATGGGACTGACCTAGACATCTGCATACATGTAACAGTTGTGTTGTATAGCTTGGTCTTCTCATGGGAACAGGGGCTGCCCCTAAAGTTTTGGCCAACTTTTGTTAATGCCTCTTTCTGAACAGAAATGGAGGAGGAGACAGGGAGACAAGGACTGGGAGGAGAGGAGGAAGGGAAAACTATGGTTCAGATGTAAAATTAATTAAAAACTTATTGCTACTCAGCAGTGGGTGCCTATGAGGAGAAGAGAGAGCCTTTATTCTGGGTGGCTGTTGTGAAAATCAGTGCGGAGGGCCCTCAGACCTAGGCACACTACTCCTGAGCACGTGTTGAAAGGACTCCATCCTACCTGTTCATCCCTGTTTAATTGCTATACATTTATAATAACAATGAAATGTATTTGATTATGATGTACATCAACAGATGAGTGAATAATGAGAATTGATACATATAAATTACGGCATTTTATTCCTCTGTGAAGAAAAATTAAATCTGCAGGAAAATGGGTAGAATTGGAAATGTATTAAATCAGGTAGTCCAGGCTCAAAAAGATAAATGCCACATTTACCCTCATGCTTATGCAGGGCTGACTCTAGATAGGTAGGAAGTGCTGACTGAGGAGAAACAAAGAAGACTCAGGGTGGGAGGGGTAAGATGTTTAATGTGCATGAAAGTGGAGAGAACCATGACTGTGGAAGGGTATGAGCAGAGAGAAATCTTGTAAGGAGACCTGCATACTAAGTTTTTAAAATGTGCTCAAACTAAAAGATGCTGCATTTAGGAATATGAGTATGGCCATATCTCTTGTTGACAGAGATGAGAAGAAGATTTTCTGAATTTTTTTTTTTTCAGTTGAATGCACTTATGTTTTGTAGTATCAGCTGTAAATCATTTTGAGTCTGTAGTTGAGTCTGGCTGTGATTTTTGATTACTAATGTGTTGGCTGTCTGATAATGTGAATGTAACATGTGTTATGTCACTCACACAGTTTCCAGATACATTCTAGCTGTGAAGTTATCTGGAAAGAACATGTCAGTGGAACTTACACTTCTTGAGCCTTTCAGTTTCAGAATATCTGAAGTATGGATGTCTCTTACAGTTGATCATACATAATGTATCAGTTGTGTATACACATCCGGCTGCTCCTCCCCCCTCACCCCAGTCACTTGTATAAAGTCGGTGATGCTCTTATAATTGATGAGCATTTAGCTTGATTAAATATTATAATTTTTTTCCTCAGGTCTTTCAGCTTCTTTCAAATGGCCTTGGTTGTATTTGTATCTCATTCGTATTTATTATTTCTGCAAGGTATTTCAGATCCTTTTCTGAACAAAATGTAATAGAATAATATTTGATTAATTACTTGAATTACTTTCAAAGGGAAATGTATATTGAATAGTTTAATTGCTAACTTAAGACATCTTTTCAGAAAATTAGGTAGTCCTAATGGTTCCTTAGTATTTGAAGATATTTTGAAGATATATATATATATGTATATATATATATGTATGTATGTATGTATGTATGTATGTGTATTTGTATAATTTTAATGCATTGGCATCTTAAAGCTCAACAATCATCCAAAAGTTAACGTTCTTTGTCTCCTCCCAACTAGGATGCCCAAAGAAAGATAACAAATGTCTCTGATGAAGTATCCAGTGAGGAAGGTCCTGAGACAGGATACTCATTGCGCTGTCACATGGACAGAACTTCTGAAAGCAGTCTTCGGAATAGAAAGCCACACCATTACAAAAAGCATTATGCAAATGAGGTATACAGTTTGACCTTATGTAAATGCACATATACCTGTTTTATTTCTTCAATAATTGAGTGTTACTATTGAAATATTTCCCACCATTATCAATATGTATTGTTTTACAATCTTTTTGTTGTTGTTTTGAGACAGGGTCTCACTGTAACTCTGTTGACTTCCTGGAGCTTGTTACGTAGACAAGGCTAGCTCCAGCTCAGATACACCTTGCTCTGCCTCCCCAGACTGGGATTATAGGTGTGACACCACACCCAGCTTTGTTTTACAATCTTGTTGGATAGTGTAGCATTGATCAATAGCTACCCATGCACAATCATTTTTGTGTGAAGCTCCATATACTTAGGTCATTGTTTACTGTTGTTTATTTACTTGTTTACTGGTTTGGGGAAGGGGTGCCCCTGTTGTAGTGGAGTTGAGAGAACAACTGGAAGAGTTGATTATCTTCCTACCAGTTAAATTTCTGGGATCTAACTCAGGTTGTCAGGCTTGCTGCCAAGTACCCTGACCAATTGAGACGGTCTGCTAACTCCTGTGTCAGGGCTTTCACAGCTCACTATAGTGAAGTAATTTCTTTCATGTTGCTATTGCCTGTTATTCATTTCCCTATACTACAATATTCAGTAATTTTTCTCTGATTCCCTTTTTCTCTTTTTTTAAAAATGTATTTATTGATTGATTTTTCTCAAAGCTTTCTTCAACTTTTTGACGTCTCTAGAGCTTAAAACTATCTAGAAAATAATTTCATTCCACTTAATGTTTACTTTCTATATACAAGAAATTGTAATCAAGATGTTTCTCTCCCACCTGCCTGTTCCCAAATGTCCAGCAGCCACTTCCCAAACAACTGACTCGGATGCTTAATATGATTTATAAATGTTCGGTCAATGTTTCAGGTGTATTACTAACTAGCTCTTAATATTTTAAGCTAATCCATATTCCTTATTTATGCTCTGCCACGTAGTAGTACCTTTTTTTTTAGTACATCGTACCCATCTCATTCTCTCTGCGTCAGGCTGGTATCTCCTGACTCTGCCCTTATTCTTCCCATCATCCTTAGTTTGGCTACCCACCTATACTTCCTGCCTGGCTACTGGCCAATCAGCTTTTTATTAAACCAATTTGAGTAACAGTTCTTTACAGTGTTCAAGAGGATTATTCCATAGCAAGAAATTTCATTGCCTACCTCCAAAGCTTTAACCCTGTGTTACGTTTTAGCCAGTAGTACCTTGTAGTCTTTTCAAAGTATACAAATATTTTTTTCCTGCATGATTTTGAGATAAACTTATGAAAAAAATTCAAGTGTTATACTTGGGCAGAATACGAGTTGTTCCAGGCTGCTAGGAGAGTTACTTTCACACACTCCTCTCTCAGGGTCTATTTGGGCTTTGGTTGTCTTTTTCCTCTCAAAGGCTAACACTCAGACTAGTATGCCAGCTTACTGCCTTGTCATTCACAACCTGCTTCTAAACAAATTACCAAGCCTAGGAAATGAGAATCTCTCTTTATGCATGAGAAGCTCCTTGGTGCTGGAAGGAAGGTAGAAGGAAGGTTTGATGCCTCTCCTGTGTAATCAGTTATCACTCTTGGGTGATTCTTGTTCCTGTGATCTTTACTATTGGAATTCTTGAGGAGCAGAGCAATAAATATTGCTTTAAAACATTTCAACCTATTTTTCATTGATAGTAAACATTGATTAAACTGAAATCTCAGATTTATTTATGAAAACTTTAAAATAAATGATGTTTTAACAGTTGTGTTCAGCTCCTCCAAATCTGGTCTTAGAAACAGACAACTTTACAGGACATGTCTTAAGAAAAGCAAGCCTTTAGAATAGGTTCTCAGCCTCTGGATCATGGTCAAATATCAGATGTCCTGTCCTCTATACTTTGTAATATTTTGTTGCCTCTTCCACTGTCCTATGACAGTATGTTTGTTGTTTTAGGACAAGTAGAAATGTATGGTTCTGATAAAAAATCCTTTGAGTTGGAAAGGATATACAAATTGTATTAATGTCAAAGAATATCTTGATTTCAGGATGCCCCTAAGTCGGGTACTAGTTGCAGCTCTCGATGTTCAAGTTCCAGACAGGATTCTGAGAGCACAAGGCCAGAATCTGAAACGGAAGATGTCTTATGGGAAGATTTGTTACATTGTGCAGAATGTCATTCATCTTGTACCAGTGAGACAGATGTGGGAAATCCTCAGATTAACCCATGTGTGAAAAAAGAATATAGAGACGACCCCTTTCACCAGGTTAGTTTACAGTGTTGGCTCATGTGGGGCAATCAGACAAGCTCCTTGGAACGTGTGTACAAATTTTACAGAGGTGACAGAAGGTTTACATTCAGTTAAATTAATACTCATAAGGTGGGGTGTGTTTGTTTGTGTTTGTTTTTTTATGTGGCCTGTGGTCTGCCTTCATTAGAATATAGTGTTTTGGTGTTTATATTGTACTGGTGTACATACATATGTTCCTGAAATAATAGATGGAGTTTTGTGGGTCAGTCTGTTTTAGATGCACTAGTTGTTTTATCCTATTTAGATTCATGTACACCTTGGCCTAAATTCTGCTTTTAATATTATGATTCAAAATCTGTATCTCAAGAGTATCAATTTTGTATTACTGAGCACCCATAGTCACATTATTCAATAGAAATATACTCATGTAGGTTTATATTTTCTAGTATCCTTGATAAAAACAGTTTTAAAAAGTAAAAATCCAATATGTTTTATTTTACCCAATATATTCAACATATCATTCCTATGTAAGTGATGTAAAAATAAGAAATTATGTAGGTGACATTTTTATATTAAGCCTAAAACTATTCTGAACCCCTAGCATACATCTCATTTTGGGTTAATCACACTTAAGATGTTAAAAGTGTTATTGAGTCGGGTACTGTGTTGAATCCTTTTAATGTCCATCAGTTCCCCATCTTCCTTTATAAACCTTCTCTCACTGTACTCGGGATCTTTGGTAAGTGGCATCTCCATCTGTCACTCACCAGTCCAGAAACCTGATGGCCATTTAAAAGTCCTTACCCTGGACAGTGGTTACCCCACATAAGCATGGGGACCTGAGTTGGAGCCTCAGAGCCTGTATTTAAAAAGACAGAGACAGCAGGGTGTGCTGGGTGCATTGAGGATGCAGTGACAGGTGACTCCTGCCAGCCTAGCCTGCTGGGCAAGCTCACTGAGAGCAAAAGACCCTTATCTTAAAATAAGATAGTACTGAGGAATGACATCTGAGGGTGACGTCTGACCTCTGTGAAGGTAATTGTGTGTGTGCTCACTCTTATGTAAACTCCCCCATACACTCATCCAAATCCTCACCCTTTTATATACTTACTTTCTCTTAGCCAACTTCTTATCAAGTGTTGTCAACAAAAACAAGTAAATTCTTAAAAACTAGAAACAGAAGACAGTTTTGTTAATCTGATTAAGAGTGGTACCAAAGAACCTTCAGCTATGACAAAGTTCTATAGTCTGGATGGCTTACCCAGTACTCTTTGTACAGTTCTGATAACTGGTAGGCTCAGATTAGGGTATCAGCATGATCATTTTCTTGGTAAAATCTCCTCTTCCTGTGTCCTGTAGATAGCAAGCTCTGAGCTTGATTTTAGGATACATTTTTCTTAAAAGCAGGTACCATGTGAAAGTGTCCATTATCCTGCTTTTGCTTTTATTGTGGCAGCCTTTTTGTTCATTTGTCTGCCAGGTTTTGATTGGATTTGCACTGATTAAAGAATGAAATGTTAAAAATAGCAAAAATTGTTGGTTATCTTGGCACATCTTTAAACCCCACCCTTGGGAGACAGAGGCAGTTGGGTATCCAATTTCCAGACCAACCAGGGCTACATAGTGAAACCCTGCCTTTAAAACAAAACAGAAGCCAGGGCTGTGTTAGAGAAATCCTGTCTTGATAAACCAAAACATACAAAACAGTTTTAAATATCAATAGATGGACTTTCCTTACAGATACAAACATTTAAATTGAGAGTAGGATAGAAAAATCTAGAAATGGATTTGTGCTCTTATGGATCCCTAATGTATGGCATAAATAGCATTAATATTCAGTGAGGAAAAGATAACCCCATAAGAGCATTGACACATTGAAATTTATTGTTCATAGTTACTAAGTGTAAAGGGGGAAAAGTTTAAAACATTTAGAAGTAATATAGAATAGTCATCATCCTTGTTTTAGTTCACCAGAGTTTTCACAAACAAGATGTCCAAAGCGTGTGCAAAACCAAAATGGGGTACTTATAAATATCAATTTAAAATTTTTGACTTGCAAATTAAGCTATAATTATTATTAAAAGACAGTCCTCAGAAGATGTCTGTAACATCTTAGCTGTCAAAGTACAGAGAAAGAGAACTACTATAGAGGATTAGTTAAACAAATGATTCTGGCTGTGGTGATCCATGCCTTTAACACCAGCACTTACTCCAGTGGCACAGGCAAGTGCCTCATTGAATTGGATACTACCCTGGTCTACAAAGACAGTTCCAGGCCAGGCAGTTACTTGATGAGATACTGTCTCAAAAAAAGGGTGGGGGGTGGGGAGAGTGGGAGAGAGAGAAGGAGAAGGGAAGAGGAATGAATAGGAAATAAAAGGATCTGAAGAGGTAACTTAGGGGACATGTGTATGAGTGGAGATGAGTAGTATGTTAGTTAATATGACCAGTTTTGTTAGTGTCAGGCAAATGAAATTTAGAGCAATGAGACACTATCTCATACTGATCAGATTTCAAAAAATTTAAGAGGCCAGGCAGCACTCAGATGCACAGACAGGTGGATCTCTGTGAGTTCCAGGACAGGCTGGGCTACACAGAGAAACCCTGGGGTGAGGCGGAGAAGAAACTAACATAGCTGTGATGATTCTTCATTGCCAACCTAGCTGGATTCAGAACCCCCTGGGAGACACACCAGATCAGGGAAGAACCGTTCTAAACACAGGTGGTATCATCCCATGTCCTAAGATCCCAGACAGATCAGTATCAGCATTCCTCCTTTTCTGCTTCCTTAATGGTGCCTCGGGCCAACCTACTCCTACAATCATGTCTTTCCTGCTGTAATAGATTGCACTTAATTAACTTAGTTTAGTTGAACTAAGCCCCTTCTCCCCTGAGGTGCTTTTCCCGGGTATTTTGCTGCAATGGTGGGCAGTACAACAAACAGTAGTAAAGCCAGGAGGCCACAGTTTATAGCAATGAAATTAAGCTTAACCACATGTCAACATGAATATAATTTTTTCAATTATAAATTGAAGTATAAATTTGGATTTTTTGTAGTGAATGCAATTTGAAGAACTGTGCAGTACCATTTACATAAGAATTTAAAGCATTCAGAACAGTGTATTCGTGAATTAAAGCATGCACTTGGGATATAAAAACATGCAAGAGAATAAGTATGAAATTTAGACTTGTGGAACTTGGTGATTAACTAGAGAAGTATACAGAATAATTTCTGAGTTTATCTGGAATGTTTCACTTCAGCAGATTGAGAAGAAAGAAGAATGAGGTAAAGTCAACTCCCGGGGTAGCTGAATGAAAGTGTTTCACCCATTGGTTTTGACTTCAGACCTGTTGCAAAGTGACGGGGAAAGGAACCTTCACTGAGCTGGTTAGAGTGATTGAGTGGTGTGTGAGAGCACAGTGTAGAAGCTTGCAGGAGGCAAAGTAGAGATGAGAAATAAGAGGGGGAAAGTGTGCTTTTTAAGATGTAAGATATTTATGTACATGAGAAAGTTAGTGGGGAGAAAGCAAAAGAGTTATAAAAGGTATTGCCCAGTTGTTGGCAGTGATAAACAGGCTCTGGGGTAGCAGAAAGGGGAGGTGCATAGACTGGGCAAGGCAATGAAAGTCCTGGTGGCTTCTGTTTTCTGAGACACAGGGATCTTGGGGCTATTAAGGAGGAAAAAGAACCAAGAAGGCATGCCTGGAATAATGCTTCTGTGGAAATCTAGATGGCAGCTTGGCCAAGAAAGATAATTGTGTTTAAGGGAACTCATACTCTAAAGTTGAAGAATTCAGAGACCTACCTGTTCAGGTGGGAGGTTACTACTGCTGACTCATTTCAGAGATGAAGCAGTTGGTGGTGTGGCCATGGGAATAGCTAAGGGTCCATGGTTCAGAACAATTCCTGAGACTACATGATGTTTGGTAAGGAGGCATGCACATGTTCTTCTGGGCCACTGAGTTTGATCTATGGACGGAGGTATTGAGAAATGCCTGTGAGCTGTTTTCCCTGTAATTCCACAAGCAGTACAGACACATGGGCTGTGATTTCTGTCATGTTGTTGTATCACTTACTCCTTGGGACAGAGTATATCTTTAGTGAATGCTAGCTGGGTGAATGCCTGAAAGAAAACACATTAAAAATAGCATGTAGGACGTTTCAAAGTTATTTATGGGATTGTTTAATAATTTGACCCTGTCTGATTCATCCTTGTTTTTCTATGAGATTTTAAAAAAACAGAAAAACAAAAAACAAAACCATAAAACCTCTCTTCTGCATATCTAATATACTAATTATACTAATTTTAGTCTTAGTAGTTGTCAGGCAATAGAAATTAGCTTTCTTTAATGAAAAAAACTACCAGATTGTTTACTTATCTGGCTGTATGACTATGTTTGATTTGCAAGACCATTTTCTGTCTACCATCAAAATGGAAAATCTCCTTGGGAAGAAACAGTGAGCATTTGGATGGGCATGTTATTGTCAGAATTTCGGCAATACATAGTTTTATTGTATTTGTAAATAGTAACAAACTATTTTCTAGAAGAAAAATTTTCTCTGCTTATTTTGGCTGGGTGTATAGTGAAATAAAAAGCCATATTCAGGTGACATCTTCCAGTAGGTAACTAAAGCAGTTGTCTTAATGAGTTTATTTGAAATAAGATATAACATCATCACAATTTAAGGTTTTCATTTTGAGTGAAGATAAAAGCAAAGCACTGGAGATTTGGAATGGTGATGAAAAATAATAATGAAAAAGAATTTCAAACTTCAGCTTGAAAACCTAAGATCTTCATGTGTCCTGCTCACACAGGCCACATGTGACCTCATGTGTCCTGCTACACAGGCCACATGTAACCTATGACAGCCCCACTTTTGAGGCGATAGCATGTTTCAGTGCCAGGTGGTGAAGTTATAAACAGCAGTTACTTGTTCCTAGGTTTCTACTGAGCCCTTTAGGTTAGGATCTCATATGATGATGTTTAAACAAGACTGTTTTCAGACAAAAACACATCTACACTGAGAGGCACAAGGCCTTCTGATTGACTCTGAATTGACCATTTCTAATGGCTGTCCTCTCTTGCCTTTTGGCTGTAAGAAAATGAAGTCAAATGTCTGCAAAAGTAACTGGTGAGAAGTACTTTAAGAACAGCAAAGAGATTGATTTTTTTCTGTCTCTAGATTGACCTCCATTGTATTAACATAGTCTTAGTGTAATTGTGCAGACCTGTAATTTCTGTTACAGTGAGACTTGAGAAGAAATCTGTTATTACTTGGCTAAAATCTCTTGCCTTCCAGACTTCCAGACTTACTATCCTGTGCTGGTTAGTTGTCAGTCTGACAGGATCTGGGGTTACCTAGGAGACAAGCCTCTGGGCATACCTGTGAGAAATTACTTACCTTAGCCAAGTCTCTTGACACTCCTGTGATCACCTTGTCACTCCAGTTTCTGTATATTTTATGTCCCAAAGCCCCTCCCCACCTTCAGAGTGCTAGGGACTGAATTCAAGGCCTCATGCATTGCCTACTAGCCAGCACTTTACCTGTAAGCAACATCTTTAGCCCTTTTTTTTTTTTTTTTTTGGAAGTTTTTGATTCTAGTATATTTCAGAATTATATTTTCAGAGAAGACGATGCATATTTTGACAACAAAATTATTTCTTTTCTAAACTGGCATATATTGTTTGTCAGCAAGTTATAAAACATTACTTTAAGTAAGTTGACAGTTAACAATAATATTTCAATGCTTGTTAGTCCCTCAAATAGTGAAATGTATAAAGACCATGAAAGTATTTAGAAAAGATAAAAATTTTCCTCTTTTTTATATATTACCAGCTTTTTAGACTTCAGCTGAAATTTATTGGTGCACCTTTATCCCTTGTGTATGAAAAATAGTATTTCTTAAATTTATGGAATTATTTTGGAATATTACAGTGTGACAATATATTGATTATATTCCTCAGGTTACTGTGAATGCCAAACATATCATTTATATAAAATGTGGGAAATATATCAATTCTTGAGATAAATGTGAGTTAGAGATACTATAATGTAAACAAGTTATTCCTACCCAGCTCATTTCTTAGCATTCTTCTCCGTACATTACACGTTGCTGTGAAAGTGTTCATTGGTTTTGTGCTACCGGCAGCCAAACTGTCCTGTTTTCTAATTTCACTGCTTTAATGTATCCAAAACAAACACCCAAACTTAAACATTTGATGCTTCATACTGAAGTCTTACTATTTTTTGAAACGTTGAGAGATACTGTATTTCAGAGAATACTTGTATTTGTTTCTCCTTTGAATGTTTGCCTTATCTGAAAAAAAAAAGGCTTAATTGATCCTCTCCAGAAATAAATGCTATTTTCAAATATTACAGAAGTAACTGGACTGCTTAATGAAAGTAAATGAGGGAGAATCTCTTCTAGGATGAGATTAAATCACACAGTTTTTCAAAGATCTCAGCTGTCATATTTTGTACTGAGTCATAAGGTGGACAACAGTCATCATACAATTTCCCATTCATGTCTTTCAACTTCAGTACTTTTGCTAACATATTTTATTGTATATTTAAATTATAGGATATTTGTTAAAGTTCTGCATTTTTTAACTGCAAATTTTTATGTCATCTGTTTAATGTATGACTAGTTTTAAATTGAGGTTTTAATGTAGCTAAATTGTATGTGCATAGATATGGCTAATGTACAGATAAATGTGTTCCATTTATAAAATGTGATAAATGTGTTCAAGTCTCTTTTTTTTCTTGTAGAGTCATTTGCCCTGGCTTCATAGTTCCCACCCAGGATTAGAAAAAATCAGTGCTATAGTGTGGGAAGGCAATGACTGTAAGAAAGCAGACATGTCTGTACTTGAAATCAGTGGAATGATAATGAACAGAGTAAGTTCTTCATTTGTTTTATCTAGGTAAAGGGCAAATTTAGTGGCTATCCATATATTACCCAAATATGAATAACTTATTCACGTCCCTTTTCTTCACCCTGGAAAATAGTTATTTTTTCTGATGTGTGTGCATGTGTGGCATCCCAACTTAGTTGTGGAGGATGGAGGGCAGCCTTGTGGAGGCCGTTCTTTCCTTCCTTGGGAGCATGCATACCAAGCCTTCATACTGAGAGCACCGAACTTGCAGAGCAAGTGCATTTACTCACTGTGTCATCTCATGCCCCCTCTGCCCTTTAACACGTGCTTGACTGGGGATAGACACCACAATGTAATGTCCTTTTCTTCTCCCTTCAATGGGTAAGTACGTGCGTGTGTGTATGAAAAATAATCTGTATTGTGTTTAATGCTTAGACATAAAGAATAATGCAGCTAGTGGTCAAACTCTCCAGTGGTTGGAGTTCGGCACGAATACTATGGATTTGGTATTTGTTTCTATTTCCATTAAATTACATCTTTTATTGCTGCATACATTTTCTTTTTTTATTAATTTATTTTATATAACAAAGTCCAATTAAATGAAAACAAACATTTATACACAATATTTGGGAATTTGGGCGTTGTTCTTTCCAAAGTACTTCCTGCTGGTAAGGGCGCTGTCATGGGGGATTCGAAGAAGATTCAGAAATCCTGGCTGTAGTCTGTAAGGCTGCTTTGTACAGCTATTTTGAATGTAGGATCACCTTGTACTCTGTTTCAGGCGGTCTGGCGTGATCAAACCACATTAGTCTGGAAGGAATCCACATCTTTTCATTTTCTGTGGAAACAAAAATAGAAATCCTTTTCCCCAGTAACTTGTCCTTCAACTTAAATTTTGGAATCAAAGAATTTTTTTTTTTAAATTTAATTTATTTTACATATCGATCCCAGTTCCCTCTTCCTCCATCCCTCCCTCCCTCCCTCCTTCCCTCCCTTTTACCCTCTCTGCCCTCTCACATGCACTCTAAACACCCTCCCCTCCCATTCCCCCACCCCAATTCCATATGTAGGGGAATGCCATCCAGTTGGGGTCATGTAGATCTGACAGGTCATGTGAAGTAGGGACTAGGGCTTCTCTCCTGTCTCTAGATTAAGGCAGTTATCCCTCCATGGGGGATGTGTTCGCATCCCCCATGTGTCCTTTTGTGCACCAGGGATACATCCTGGCTCCACTGTCTGAGGTCTCTTAGACTGCTCAGTCCTTCTGGCTGAGACCCATATTCAGGGGGTCCTGAGTCAGTCCCATGCTGGCTTCCCAGCTATCAGTCTAGTGGCCTTTAGCTCCTCCTTGTTCAGGTAAGCTGTCTGTATGTGTTTCTGCCCCATGGTCTTGTCCTCTCCATCTGCATCTGGGTTCTAGTTTGACTCAGTGTTTATGTATGGGTGTTTGATCCTGTTTTCAACAGGCGTTAGTTGAGGGCTCCATGGAGAAGTTAGTTGTTGATCTCACTCTCCGGGAAGGGCATTTATGATAGCCTTTCCACGGAAGCTCAAATTATTAGTTGGGAGCAGTCTTGTAGTTCTCTAGACCTTTCTTTGTGTTCAGTTTTATCTTCAAACCAATATTGGCTCCCTCTTTTATGTTCTCTCTCTGTGTCTCTGTCTCTCTCTCTCTCTTTCCTATCTTCTATTCCTAACCAGGCTCAATCTTCCTGGTCGCACATGTTTTCCTTTCCTCCCCATCGTTTTCTCCTACTTCTCTCTCCATTCGCTGCCCCCCCTCCCCACTTCCCCTGAGCTCTGGGGGACTTGTCCCTTCCCGGTTCTGTGAGGGACTTTATATGAATCTCTTAGAATACACCTTGTATCCTAGTTCCTCTGGTGATGTGAATTATAGGATGGAGATCCTTTGCTCTAGGTCTAAAATCCATATATGAGTGAGTACATACTGTGTTCCTCTTTTTGTGACTGGGTTACCTCATTCAGGATGGTTTCTTCAAGTGCCATCCACTCGCCTGTGAATTTCAAGATTCCATTATTTTTTTCTGCAGAGAAGTATTCCATTGTGTAGATGTGCCACATCATCTTTATTCATTCTTCAGTTGAGGGGCATCTAGGTTGCTTCCAGGTTCTTGCTATTACAAATAGTGCTGCTATTAACATAGTTGAACAGATGTCTTTGTTGCATGGATGTGAATCCTTTGGGTATATGCCTAAGAGGGGGATTGCCAGGTCCTGTGGTAAACTAATTCCCATTTTCCTGAGGAATTGCCATAGTGATCTCCAAAATGGCTGTATGAGTTTGCACTCCCACAAGCAGTGGAGGAGTGTTCCACTTTCTCCACATCCTCTCTAACATAAGTCATCACTGGTGTTTCTAATTTTAGCCATTCTGGCAAGGGTAAGATGGTATCTCAAAGTTGTTTTGATTTGCATTTCCCTGATAGCTAAGGATGTGGAGCATTTTCTTAAGTGTCTTTCAGCCTTTTTGATTTCCTCTATTGAGAATTCTTTCTTCAGTTCTGTACCCCATTTTTTAATAGGGTTATTTGGTGTTTTGTTGACTAGTTTCTTGAGTTCTTTGTATATTTTGGAGATCAGCCCTTTGTCAGATATAGGATTGGTGAAAATCTTTTGCCAGTCTGTGGGCTGCCGTTTGGTCTTGTCTACTGTGTCCTTTGCCTTACAGAAGCTTCTAAGTTTGAAGAGGTCCCATCTATAGTGATTGAGAGTTTTGCTGGATATAGTAGGCTAGGCTGGCATCCGTGTTCTCTTAATACTTTTAGAACATCTATCCAGGACCTTCTGGCCTTGAGGGTTTCCATGGAGAAGTCAGGTGTAATTTTGACAGGTCTGCCTTTATATGTTACCTGTCCTTTTTCCTTCGCTGCTCTTAATATTCTTTCTTTATTCTGTATGCTAGGTGTTTTGATTATTATATGTCGAGGGGTCTTTTTTCTTTGGTCCAGCCTATTTGGGGTTCGGTATGCTTCTTGTACTTTCATGGGCATGTCCTTCTTCAGATTTGGAAAGTTTTCCTCGATGATGATTTTGTTGAATATGTTTTCGGCACCTTTGAGCTGGGCTTCCTCACCTTCCTCTATGCCTATTATTCTTAGGTTTGGCCTTTTCATGGTGTCCCACATTTCCTGGATGTTTTGTGTTAAGGATTTGTTGGATTTATGATTTTCTTTGGTCGATGAATCTATTTCTTCTAGTTTATCTTCTGCGCCTGAGATTCTCTCTTCCATCTTTTGAATTCTGTTGGTTATGCTTGTATCCATAGTTGCCGATTTTTTTGCCCAGCTTTTCAATTTCCATCATTACTTCAGTTTGTGTTGCCTTTATTTTCTCAATTTCAGTTTTCAAGTCTTGAACTGTTTCCTTCACCTGCTTAATTGTTTTTTCCTGGCTTTCTGTACTTTCCTTAAGGAATTTGTTCATTTCTTCCACTTTTTTGTTTGTTTTTTCCTCCATTTCTTTAAGGGATTTTCTCACATCTTCTTTGAGGGCCTCTATCATTTTTATGAAGGTAGTTTTTAAGTCGTACCCTTCTGCTTCCTCTGCTTTGTTGTTGTGTTCCATTCTAGTTGGTGTAGATTCCCTAGATTCTGGTGGTGTCATGCTTGTCTTTCTGTTGTTAGGTGTTCTATTGTATTGCCTTCTTCCCATAGCTTCTTCCAGTAGGTGTTGGTGGGGTCTCCCCCTCTCTCTATGGTACTTCCCCGATGGGCTTATGTGGGTCTGAGATTCAATTCTGTAGCTCTGTGTGGTCCAAGCTCTCTAGGAGGTTTCTCCACAGACAGGGATCCAGGGATGGGGTCAGGGCTGAGGATCCAGAAGAAGATGCCAGCAGGTAATCACAGTGGTCCTCTGGCCAATAGCTCTGGCCAATAGTTCTGGCCAATAGCTGGCGGAAGAGGGCAAGGGCTGAGCTGGAACTTGAGAAGGTTTTGCAGGATAGTAGGATCTCACTGGAAACTGACGCTCTCCAGCTGGGACCTCTTTCTTTGGCAGAGGCCAGGATTTGGGGGGGTCAAGGATCTTGCCCGCAGGAACTCAGAGTGGACCCACAGAGATAGGCAGATCTCTGGGAGGGGCCCGGGACTCCAGCAGAGGACTTGAGGCGGGGTCAGAGACCAAGCTGGTGGAAATTATGGGTGGTCCCGCGTGGATAGTCAGGTCTCCTTTGTTCAGAGCTGCTCTGAGAAGTCTCCCAAGTAGGGTGGACTGTTGGCTCCACCCTCTGTCCCAGTGCTCAACCAGAGCGGCAGGACCATGGGTAGGGTAGGGCACAGGGTGGGGGGGTAGGCTGGCAGTGGGGATGGGTGGAGGTGTATCAGAGCTTCTAGGTGCTCTCGATGGGGACCGGAGACAGGAGCAGCAGGATCAGGGGCCCTGCTGCATACATTTTCAATAGCACTCTTGTCATTACTTTGTATAGGACAGGAATTGAAATACTACATCTAGAGATTGGCAGCTTCCATATCACCGCTGTCACTGTGAATAGAACCAGGCACCAGGGACTTTGGGGACTTAAAACTAGGGGTGCTCTAATCTGTGAGCTGTGAGATAACTCAGTCTGACAACTGAGTGTGGGGCATTAAAGGCTCTGTGGCAATTTACTTTACCACTCTAGCATATTAAAAATGTATTTTCCATACTTAATATTTTTCACTTTTATTTCCTTATCTTTTCCGGTTTATTTTCTCTTTTTCTGTCTTATTAAACAATTTTAAGGGAGGCACTAATTTACATACTGAACTCAGAAATAAAATACAAGTTAAAGATTTATTGAATAGTTATTGTTTTCTTTTCTTTGCTTTTATTTTCTTTGGCTGGGGATTGGTTTGAGACAGGGTTTCTCTGTATATTCCTGGCTGTCCTAGAACTTACTCTGTTGATAAGGTTGGCCTCCAACTCACAGAGAGAGATCCACCTGCCTCTGCCTCTGCCTAAGTGCTGGGATTCACCACCACTGGCAACCTATTTTTGTTTAAATTACATTTTTTGTTTGGGGGGCTAGAATACATGTGTCACAGTGCACTTGTGCAGGTCACAGGACACTTTCAGAAGCAGTTCTCGCCTCCATCTTGGGATCCTAGCATCGTTGTACTCAGGTCATTAGACTTGATGACAGACATCTTTATCTGCTACACCATCTTTTTCCTGAATTTTTATTTTCTTGAACAAATTGGGTTTAATTTACTGTTGATCTCAACTCTAATATTTGTAAATATTTCTAATTTTTAAAATAATAAGATGCACAGATTTTTCAATATCTAAGACTGATCTTTTCATAGTGACTAATAATAATGAGATCTTGTAATTAGTGTGTAGTAGGCTCATTTCATAATGTAGTAAATTAAAAAATTTTAAATCCTGTTATAAAAAGTAAAATTCCATTGGAATTCATTTTACTTTAAATTTGATTTATGTGTACTTTCTTCTCCCCTCCGCTCCTACTTCCTAAGGTGAACAACCATGTACCAGGTATAGGATATCAGATATTTGGAAATGCCATCTCCCTGATCCTGGGCTTAACTCCATTTGTTTTCCGACTGTCCCAAGCAACAGACTTGGAGCAACTCACAGCCCATTCTGCCTCAGAACTTTATGTGATTGCATTTGGTTCTAACGAAGATGTCATGGTTCTTTCTATGGTACTAATAAGTTTTGTGGTTCGAGTATCTCTTGTATGGATCTTCTTTTTTTTGCTGTGTGTAGCAGAAAGAACATATAAACAAGTGAGTATGATATGAAGAATATTAGTTTACCCTTTTCATAGCACTCCCAAGTATTCCTTAAGTATTTTAGTATTTCATGAAACACTAGTGTAACTTTTATTTTGCTTTTAAGTCATAACAATTTATATTTTGTATAATAATTGTATAAATTATATAATATTTTATCCAATAATCTCCATCTTAATGTTTTTTAGCGATTACTTTTTGCAAAACTCTTTGGACATTTGACATCTGCAAGGAGAGCTCGGAAGTCTGAGGTTCCTCATTTCCGGTTGAAGAAAGTACAGAATATAAAAATGTGGCTGTCTCTCCGTTCCTATCTTAAGGTAGAATGCTATTGACAAATGAACTGTTAACATACTGTCTTTCCCAGCAGTTTCAGTGTCTTCCTGTCTGTAGGTGTAGGGGTTATTATTGTCAACAGTTTCTCACTCAAAGACTGGTTTGAGGATTTTGTTTCTCCCTATGGTTTTCACAAACCAGTAGAGGGAGCCCACTACTTAAAAACCAATCTTGAGGACTCTAAGCAGTGAGACCTCCTTCTCTTTTAGTCTCCACATCACCCTGTGTTTGAACACTGCTCCTTCCTTTGATCTTTTAAAGAGTCTAGCCATTTGGGAAAGGGAAGTGTGGAATCTCTAGACTCCTAGGAGAGGAAAATGCCTGAGTTAATTTTAAGGATACCTTTTCCCCTGGGGATTCTGTTTTTATAGTAAATAGCAGCAGTGGGTTTTATTATATATGGAATATTCAGGTGCTTATGCAAACAGTGTATGTTCCAAAAACTAAGAATCCACCAAACTAGATCTTTAAAGCTTTTTATTTTTAAGTAACAATGAAAAAAGTAGAAGAAAATAGTACCTACTTTTACATTTTAAATTTTCATTATTCTGTTTATCACTTTGGCTTGTTAAGTCTTTTGGCTTACTGGAAATCATTTTCCTCTCAGCCTGAGGACTGCATTACTTGTTTAACTGCGCTGTGACCCTCTCTGCTTTGTGGGTTTGTTTGTTTGTTTGCCTAGGACAGTGCTATATGCCATCTTGTTCTGTAGATGATATAAGTGCCAGTTTCTTAGGAACTAACCCACAAATCTGAACCACCGTCCCTGACATTAACCTCAGAGCACCCAGTGTATACCTGCTCTTCATAGCTCAGTTTCTCTCTGCTGCTGGCCCTATGAAGGAGGAGGTTTGGGGAGCTGTGTTCCCTGCTGTATTCCGAGCACCTAGCACAATGCTTAGTTTTGGGCATATGCCCAAGAAACAGTTGTTGAATAAATGGTTATAGTGTGGAGCAAAAAAGAGTTACACTAATGCATCTGTGCTATGCAGGTACAACATTCACAGTGTTATCAAATTATATGGCTCTATTAACACTTTACAATTCATCTGGAAAGTTGTGAGGTATCACCAACCTGTAATACCTTAACTGAAAGCATGGAAATTGTCTGTTGTTTAGTAAATATATTTAAAAGTGTTTCCTTTTTTTCTCTAGCGTCGAGGTCCTCAGAGATCAGTTGATGTCATTGTTTCGTCTGCTTTCTTACTGACAATTTCAGTTGTGTTTATCTGTTGTGCTCAGGTGAGTTCACTTGTTACATGTAGAAATTCAGCCGTCACTAGGTAAACGCTCAGTGTCTAAACATGACTTAAGTTTTTCAGTTAACGTACAGGGTATTGGATATCATCATCTCGTGTTTGAATGAAGTGAGTTTTCCTTCATGAATGAAGAGCTTCTCCCCTCTTTGTCTCCCCACAGCCTACGACTATGAGCGCCCCTTGTACACCCTCTTTTGCACAACTGGACCCTTTCATTGTTTCCTGTCTTATGTTACCTTGTGTAGACCACCTTCTCATTCTTCCTTTCACTTATTACTCGCTTGGTCTCCTTTCTACACGCACACACACATGCACACACACGAGGGAGAATCTTCATTTTTTTGCCCAAGATTGGGTCATATTGTTTAATATTATATTTTCAAATCCATGTTTTTTTCCTGCAGATTTTCTTTTTCTTCACAGGTGAGTAAAATTCCATTGTGTATATGGACCGCAGTTTTATTATTCATTTGTTTGTATTGATAAATATCAAGATGGTTCCACTTTCTTGCTCTCGAATACAGCAGCAATACACATCAACGTGCAAATAAATAACTAGGTTTTAGAAAGACTTCTGATAGGAAAAGCAATAATATCAACAAGCCACTAGACAGGTTTTTTTTAAAGATGTATTTATTTTTATTTTGTGTGTATAAATGTTTTGCCTGCATGTGTGTATGATTTTATGTGTATGGGTGTTTTGTCTGCATGCATGTATGTATGTGCACTACGTGTGTGCCTGGTGCCCATGGCATGTCAGAAGGGGTCATCGTATCCCTTGGAACTGGAGTTACAGGTGTCTGTGAACCACAGTGTAGGTGTTGGGACCCGAACCTGTGTCCTTTCCAAGAGCAATAAGTGCTCTTAACTACTGAACCTCAGCCCCTTAGACCAGATGTCTTGTAACTTTTTGTTGAGTAAGAAATTGCATCTTATTATTCTCTGTGTCATAAACAATATGCATATAGTCAAATGCCTATTGAATTAACATACAACAAGTAATTTTTGTTTAGAAATCTATGCATTTGTCCTTATTGCTTAAGTCAGTAGTTATGAAATGGCTCCCATCTCTGGTTTCTCCACATTTAGTATTCATTTAAATTTTTCTTATCCCTGAATTGTCACTGTACTTTGATTGTTAGATCATTGATAAAGGATTCTATTCTCAATAGTCAACGTATTTGTGTAAGCTTCCACCTCAGATATGAGAAATTACTTGAAAAATCACCTGCTGTAAAGCACCAATGGTGCTAATGGTTGGGTTGGTATGTATACGTGAAAATTTTTAATATATGTATATGTGAATTCACAAGACAGTGTCATCAAAAATTTAGAAAAAGCTTGAAAATTAGAGCAATTATGTATATGCACTCATTTGATCCTATGACAACCCTAGAGTAAGAGGGTAAGAGTTATTGTCAGTCCTCGTGTTTCTTAAGTAAACTATATGTCCACATGAGGGTAGGAGTTGATGCCTTGAACAGCATCTCTAGCTATACCAGGAAGTAGGAGCTCTCAAAAGCCTACAGCCTTGAGTAAAGTCAAGTAGGTAAGTAAAACAGGTAGACAGCAAGAAAACTGTATCTAACTCTGGATAATAAAGACAGGCAAATTCTCCCTCCTAAGAATAGGTCAGTTGGCATTACATATATCAACTTAAAATTCCCATGTCAACAAGTTAATACAAGATGTGGTCCTTAGTGCCTGGATACATAGCAGAAGTAAAACCAAGATTGTCCTGAGGGTGACTTTAGCCTAGACTTGACAGAATTTACATATTAAAAGCACAAAAACAAATTAAACATGAGTCAGCAGATCAATAAATAGCAGGACAGTTTGCCACCTGTGCCACACAATAGAGTAAGCACCTAGAAACCAAGTCTGCCTAGAAAGATTAAACACAGCACTTCAAGAAGAGAATAAAGATTTTTATATTGTTCTTTTGTTTTCATTTCTCTTTCCAAGATAGAAGTTTCTGTGTGATTTTGTAAACCAGGCTGGCCTAGAACTCACATAGATCCACCTGCCTCTGCCTCCTGAGTGCTGGGATTAAAGGAGGCTGAGAACATAGATTTTTTAAATAAGAACCAATAGTACCTCAGAGAAATGAAAAAATAATCATTGGCATTTAAGCATGATGGACAAAATAAATCAAGGATTAAGAGATTCATTTAGTGAACTGTGATATTAAAGAAATGACCTACAATCCAGGGCACATAAAGATGGCAAATGCAAAACAGGTATAGAGACGGGTGGGAACTCATGTGTCTAACAGGGAAATCAAGGAGAAAGAATAGAACTCAGTATTTGCAGAGACTTTGTGAATTTTTCAGAATTGATTAAATGTTCTTAATATACAAGGACAGCTTGTTAAACTCTCCTATGTACTGGACACAGGACAGTTGTCAACTATGCAGGGCACAGCAATGAATGCCTGTACTTGAGAAGCTGAGGCAGGAAGATTTGAATGTAAGAAGTTAGCAGAAAAACTCATACCCAGCTAACATCAAATGACACAGACGACATGATCCAGCTATAATATAATCAGCCAAGAAACAAATAGCAACAAGTAAATTCATTTAGACTTTTTTAAATACATATTTTTAATTTTTAAATGGTATTAAACTACTTACTGACACAGTTAAGAATTATGAGTTCTCAATTACAAGTGTTAATTACAGCACTGAAATTTGTATGTGGGTTCCAGGAGTCAGAATGAGAGACTTGTGTTTCTGTGGGAAGTGTTTTTCCCATCTCCCCAACAATTAGCTCTGTTACAGTATAACCTTTATAGCAGCAGGACCAGAAAGCACAAAAAGGGGAAAGTTGGAGTTAAATTATTCTCTTAAATATACTGTCCTTCAACAAAATGTTACAGAGGAGCAGCCTGAAATATTACAGCTTTAAGCTGTGACCAAGATGATTTATCCCTGTGGTGAAAGGGTCTTGAACTTCAGAAAGTCCAGTGAGGTAATTTCATGCCTATGGTTTGCTACAGAAAGAGAAACCATGCAGTTATGTCAATAATGAAGAAAGCAAATTATAATTTTCAGCAGAGAATTAGTATTTATTAATTGTACAAATTACTAATTTTCCCCATGACACATCATATGCATATCTGTGTGCTGACCATCTGAAGTCCTGAGGACAGTTGGGATTACAGTCACAATCACATGCAGTTAAACAGAATGTTGATTTTTGTTTTTTAGTTTAGGTAAACTTCCTAAATTCATCCAGGGCTTTTGAGGGACAAGCTGCCTGATTAGAGATACGGGATTGCTTCTTGGATTGCAGGAAGACTGTTTTTGATAGAGAAGTGGGATGGTCAGGGGGTGAAACAGTTCTGCAAACCCATGCAAGTCACATGATGCAGTGGCTTTGTAAATTGATCCAAGAAGGCTCACATGATAGGGGTGAAATGAGTCTGGAGCAAATGAAAAGAACTTCACACTGGGATTGAATTCTATGTAGAATAACGATTTAAACAACAAAATTTATAATTCAATCACAAAATGTATGGACTATAAAGGGCACTATCAGTGACAAAATGGGATCTGGGAAAATACACTGGCAAAACACAACTTCAATGGGGATACTATATCGAAAACTTTAAAAAAAGTCCAGCTTCTAAAATTTTCACTCAGGGTTCAAAAAAAGGAACTACACATAAGCGAGAGAACTATGATCTGAGGGAAAAGGAACGGACTCAGACAATCGCTCCTGTGTGTTCCTTTATTTGTTTGCTCTTTCTCAACTGCTGTTCTGTTTGTCTATCTCTGCATTCTGTTGTCTCTAGAATTCTTCTCCCTAACTCTTTTTCTGTTTTTTGTTTGTTTGTTTTGTTTTGTTTTTTGTCTCTCAAGTTCTTGTCTCCCTCCAGTTCTTGGGAACTGGGACACACACACACACACACACACACACACACACACACACACACAATTCTTTTTACAATACAATATGAAGCTTTGAGTTTCTCAGGGTCAACCAGGCAGATAAGATTTACACACAGACCAATAAACTAAAACTGCTAGAAGGAACTTTTAGCATCAGTTATTTAGGGCTGTAGGTCAAAGAGAGTGTCTAAGTTTAATTTGCACAAGAAACAAAACCTGGCGCCTTCCAGTGATCTGGTTCTATGGCAGCACAGACCTTCAGGAAAGTTTACTTTTCCCTGAGTGAGGATGAGCAAATGGGCTGATTACCTTTGTCTTTACCTTCTCAGGGGAAACAGGAGGGAGTGGTAAATCTCTGAGCTAAAATCTTGAGTTAATAAAACAAGAAGTTTGAGAATCTCCTACTGCAGGGTGAGCTTAGGTTATCACTTTCTCTATCACCAGTGAGGTAAAGCCAAGGGCATGCTTATATTTTTTTATCCATCTAGGCAGCTATGAATCAACAACTTTAAATGTGTAGTAGTTTTATGTCCTTGGATATTTGGGAATGTCTTAGATGGGATGCTTTTGCCTAGGCCCTAAACACTGACCAAATGCCTGTAAATAAAGATAGTTGCAGAAAGGCAGATCTTAGCAATTACAATGGAGAGGGGAACAAAGACCTGATAGTGGGAAATAGGCCTCACATATAGCTAAGGAATAAAATAAGTAAACTAGGACCTGCTAATGGAGAACAGGTATTTACACATAGCTAGGGAATGTAATCATTAAAACTTCAAATGCATGAGAGAAATTTGTTCCCAGTAAATGATCAGATTGTGCTGAACTGTGGGAAGTATATCCCAAGTTTGTTACAGAAAGGAATAAGCAACAGGAAGAATCTACAGCAAGACACAGCCAATTCATTCATGACATTATAACACCAGGTACAGCTTTGTACTGTACTGGTTTCATCCATCAGAAGAATCCTTAATTCTTCTAAGTTATTTGTGATGCAAAGGCTGTATAATTACTATGTGATCTTGTGGCTTGTAGAAATATTACAAGTCTTCGCAAGAAGTCTTCCTAACAGAAGTTATAAAATATAAAAAGGTAACTCAACAGAGAGAAACCAGTAGCCATTAAGAGAGTGGAGCATTCTCATCTTTCCCAAGTATCAGGGAAAGTTAAGATTAAATTAGTGAGTGTTGAGTGTACACCCACGAGGGTGCCATATGTTAAGAAGTTGGTTGGATGAGGATAAACAAAAATAAGGGCAGGCAGAATTTGAAACATGGCCGAATGTGAAGTGGTACCACTATTTACAAATTAACAAATATGCAACATCGTAGCTGGTAGTTTTAGGCCTACATATTAATACCTAACAGAAACCTTGCTTATGTGGACAAGGACATACAAGACTGTTGCTGCATTGTTGGTGATACATTGACAACAACATAAATACTAGTTTTGGAGCAGACTAAAATAATTATGGTTGATTCTTTTACTGTAACTTATAGGAGTTAAAATGAACTAATTCAAAGTCGAATGCTTCAGCATGGGTAAATCTTAGAAACAAGGCTCAGTGGAATAAAAAACAAACTAAAGTTGGCAAGACGGCCAGTGGGTAAAAGTGCTTGTTTCTGAGCCTGATGATCTGAGTTCAGGTCCCAGAACCAACATGGTGGATAGAGAGGACAGATTCCTGAGGATTGTCCTGACTGTCACACAGGCATGTGTTATGACATGTGCATGTGTCTCCTCTCCACTCTCTGGGAGGATGGATGGAGAAAGAAAGTAAGTTGAATATGATGTTAAATAATGTGGAAATACTGATGTAAAAGTCAAGTTATAGATACAATAACAGTTTAAAGGTGAATGTTGAAGGTGAGCGATGTACCACCACAGTAGAGTGGTACCTACTTTCCTAGCCTGCAGAAGCTCTGGGCGCCCAGTACTCACATAGGAGAAATATAACCACAGGATGAATTATTATTATTTTATTATTAACTATTAAATTATTAATTTATATTAATTATTAAAAGCCTTCCTGGAGGGGCTGGAGAGGCGGCTTTTCCAGAGGACCTGAATTCAATTTCCAGCACCCACATGGTGACTAACAGCCATCTGTAATGAGATCTGGTGTCCTTTTCTGGCCTGAAAGCATACATGCAGGCTGAACACTGTATATATAATAAATAAATATTTTTTCAAAAAGCCTACATGGAAACAAGAAACACAAAATTTACCTTGGGATAGAGTCAGACAGAGAAAATATAAAGGTTTAGTAAGTACTATAAAATATTAAGATTAAAAAGTGGCTGAACTCATAGCTGTTGAATATCTTATTCTCCGTACTTCTGATATGTGTAAATACCTCATGGTAAATATGTTCTAAAAACATACTACATTTATGAGCAATCCATTTAAGTGCGTTTTGTTTTGAAGCGAGGGGTGCTACTCACATTGCCGCTTGACTGTTTGTCTTGTGTGCTCCCAGCTGCTCCATGTGCATGAGATCTTCCTGGACTGTCATTACAACTGGGAGCTGGTGATCTGGTGCATCTCCTTAACACTGTTCCTCCTGCGGTTCGTGCTTCTTGGATCAGAAACAAGTAAAAAATACAGCAATACCTCAATACTACTTACAGAGCAGGTGAGTTTACGCTCTTATAAATGAATCTTTGTAGTCTACAGTCCGTGTGTGTGTGTGTGTGTGTGTGTGTGTGTGTGTGTGTGTGTGTGTGTGTGTGTGTGTGTGTGTGTGTGTGTGTGTGTGTGAGAGAGGGGGGGGAGGGTGAGTATGAGTCCTGGCAGAAAACATCTTCCCCACTGACCAGCCCATATACATACTAATTTAAAACATTTTTTTTCTTTTGCTTATTTCCTATTTTTTGAGCATTTTTAAAAATTAAGGTCATTCATACTGTGAAACTCTATTTAAATTTTGATACTACTGTCTTTCTATAGTGTTTCTGCCATGATTCACATTTGCAATCAGATCTGCTGTTTATGTGTTCCATTTTCATTTAGGAGGTAGTAGTATTTATAAAAATGATAGATTTTAATCATTAGTGGGCTATGATGCCTCTGCATTGTAACAGAACCACATTGGAGTAAATTTAAATTTTTATTTAGCAGAGAGAATAAAGTATAATAATTTTGATAATTGGCTTTATTTTATGAGTTTGATAAATATTTCCTCTTCCTCTTGCTATTTCATAAAAATTATACAAAAGAAATCTTTGCTAATGAGCTTCTTTGGATATTTTAGTTAGGAAGAACTTGTATTTTAAACATTGAGTAGTTCAGTTGACTATATTAGATGGAGGAAGAGTTATCACTCTCATGGACTTAGACAGGTCAACCACTTCCTCAGAAGCTGATGGCTTTTCTGTTCACCTCCTCCTGTACCTCCTGTAGATTACTACTCTGTGCTGGCTTACATGTAGTTTGGGTTTGTCTTATTATAACTTTTGTCCTTGACGTTACCAACTGTCCAGTTCATAGCACCTAGAACTTGGTTTTGGTTGGGGTTGTGGCTGCCTGAGTAAAGTGGGAAGAAGGATCAGGTGGGTAAACACAGTGTATTTAGAGGCTTGGAATTAGAGCCTTTTCAAGGAAGGGACCTAAACTGGGCAAGTACCCCAAAAGCATCTATTAGGGAGTAAATGATAAAGATATGCAAATACTCAAATTACTTTCATAATTCAAAAAAATCGTGATCTAGTTCACTGAGTTTATTCTATTGCTATTTATTCTCTTAAGTTGATATGGCCCTGAGAATACAATGTCTACCTTCTTAAGAGTTTTCTTATTATCAAGTAAGTTTATTATAAGATTTGAAATGTATAATAATATATAAATATTAAAAATTATTTGTAATGTTAATACCCAGAGAACCACTATTAATGTTGTGGTGACTTTCAGACCTGTTCAAGAAATCATTTGTGGGCGGGGCCTAACTCATTGGTACTGTGATTGTGTAGTAAGCATGAGGTCCTGGGTTCCAGTCCCCAACACTGCGAAAGAAAAGCATATATGTTACAATTTTAAATGATTTTATGATGGGGCTTTTTTATATAAAAGATAAACCTCTACTTGAAAATGGAGAAGAAACCTAACAAAAAGGAGGAACTGACACTTGTGAATAATGTTTTAAAACTGGCTACTAAACTATTGAAGGTAAGAAAAGAATTGAAATTGATGAGGAATGTTCTGTTCTGATATTGTATCTTAGACTCTGTAGATTCTGCCTTGCATGTAGTTGTCATTATTACCTAAGTTGCTTCCAAATTACATTTGAATACATTTGTACAGCTTTGTTTTGTTTTTCCTTGCTCAAGTAATCCAAATAATTTCTTTGAAAAGTATGTGTAGACACTTACTAATGTTGAGAGTATTATAGATGCTTTGCTCTGTGTATGTTGTTTAATCAATTTCATCTAGACACATTTCACAAAAGATTAGAAGCTAACTCAGAAGTTGCTTATTTTGTATTTCATAGAAGTCTCCTCTTGATCCACATTAACTTAAAAAGCAATGATACATAGTCATTGTAGTCATTGTTGTATTATACATATTGTCAGTAAACGTTTAATTTGAAAATCAAAGACTGTAATGATGTGTTTGGTGTCATAATATCCTTGGGAAGTAAAAAAAGTCTTATATTAATTTTGCATCAGGATCTTGCTATGTAACTCTGATTGGCTCAGTATTAACTGTGCCACTCATGGTGACTTCATACTTGTGGCTACTTCCTGTCTCTGTCTCCCAAGTGCTGGGATTACAGGTGTGCCACAATGCCTGGCTCTCTGGAGATAATACAATAGGAAATTTTAACCATTGTGTTATGGTATTGCTTTTCTTTGTTAAAACTAAAATCTATTTAAGATTATTAATTTCTATAACTGAGCATAATACTGAGAGTTTTAGTTTTCAGAGAATGGTATGAAGTGAGTTGTGGCTTGGTGATAGGGTCATCCTTTGTCAACTATAGTATGAATTGAGTATAGACCGTGACTCATGGGAAATCGGACATCAGAAAGGTCCAGAGGAGGAATGACATAGAGGGATAATAAAACAGGCAGTTATTGATTGCTTTTATAACTTTCTTTAAAAGGATCTTGAGGAAGATGATAGGGTTTAAATAAGCAAATTAATACAGACACATATCTTCACCCACCTTTTTTCCCCTCAAAGAAATGACCTTGGATTGATGGTTCTCTGTGGCTTGCTGCTTTCGTATTGGGGATCTGCAGGGTGCCCTGTGGCTGACAGCGGGAACGGATCCTGTGAAGTGTAGAGACAAAAGCTCAACTCAAGGCATAAACTCATGTTGTGAGCCAGCCCAGAGCTTGGGCCAGTTACCAGCCAGGAGCCCCCTTTCCTATCTCTTACTCAAGCACCTGACACACATGATGCAAGCACCCTACTTCTGTGGCTACTGCTCTGCCCCCCACATTGCCATCCCAGAGACTGCTTCCCGCGAGTCTGCCGTCTTCTGCTCTGGTCTAAGTCCCCTTAGTGTGAGCTATGGTCAAGTCTGCCTAGGGAGCAGCTAGCCCTCTAAGTCAGTGCATTCCCTTGTGTTGGGGCTCTGCCAGTGCTCAATAGCCTATAGAAGCTTTTCCAGCTCTGCCTTCTTCGAGTCCTACTCTTTGTAAGGCTAGCCTGCATGTCTCTGGTGGAGGATCTCACTTTATTATTTGCATGCTTATAAGCTGTAAAGTTCTTCAGTTTAAGGACTGAATTTTACCTTCCCAAAGCCCAGCATGGTGCCTGTCCTATAAACAGACCTTTTAATATTTGAGTCATCCAATGAATTAGTTAATTGTATTTTTGAAGATGAGTTGACTCAAATGAAATTGAGTAGTGTTCTCAGCTCTGTTTGGCTCTTAGCCCTGAACTTACCCTCCTATAGCCAGTGAGTCAAGGCTTTACTAGGCACTTGTTTATAACAGAGATTATTTTTAAGGAAGTCACTTTTCTTGAAAAAAATTAATACCACCATTAAAATTTACTTATTTCAAATTTAGGTAAGTTTGTATTTTCTAAAGTACCCATAATTATAACTTCTTGAGTAGTGCTTTCTTTTTAAACTCTCTTTTTGCATATTGGGGCTTTAGTTTAACTGGAAACTGTTACAGGACCTGAGACTAACATTGTGTCTGCTCTGCTAGGAACTGGACAGTCCCTTTAGGTTGTATGGACTCACAATGAACCCGCTGCTGTACAACATTACCCAGGTTGTCATCCTGTCAGCTGTTTCTGGTGTCATCAGTGACTTGCTTGGATTTAATTTAAAGGTAAAACCTGTGAGTCTTGCTTGGTTTCCTTTAACCTGTTTCTCTTCTGTCATTTCACATGCATAGTGGGTTTGTTTTGTCAAGTCTGTACAATTAGTAACAGTGGCTACACATTTAACTTCAGGGACTTCATATGCTCATGGATTTTCATATTGATAGAATGTCTAATTTGGAACAGAATTCATTATATATTGGACTCTTTTAGGGTAAGAGGAGGAAGTGTTTATTTTTCCTCATTAATTGTAATTGATTCTAATGACTGAACAAAAAGAGCCATTTTCTTTTGTTAGCCAAAATTACATTATTTATATACCAGTGGACACACTCTCCAAATAAGGTCTAGAAAGCATATATTAAACAAGCATTAGATATATATTGGCATTTCTCAGGTTTTCACCCGTTTCAGATGAGTCACACCGTTGAGATGAGCAGGACAAAGGTGCTCAATCACCGCGTTCTTCACCTGTGTGGAGTTTTAGGCTGGTGTGCAGACGCACTTCACCTTCCATATATTATTGGTGATCATGACTTGTAATTTTTTTCTGTAGCTGTGGAAGATTAAATCATGACAGTTAGAGATGAAGACGTGGCTCGTTTCCCAGAACGTGAGTGCTGATGAAGCTGTCTGAACGCCAGTCACTGGCTCTGCTCTGGAGTCTGCTGGGAACGAAGTGTTTACATCAGGCTGTACTGTGCAATTCTTATATTTATTTTGCTTGTTTACTGTTTTTGTTGTTGTGTGTGTGTGTTTCTTTCATTCTTTCTTTTTTACATTTTAGTCTGTTTGAAGCATTGAAGTTCTTAGTTGTTGAAAGGGTGACAAAACTGATCCAGATACTTGAGGTCCTGGTAATTGTTCATACAAATTGACAAACAAATTGTGAAAATAGAAGCCATTGCTAAGCACTGTTTCTCCATCAATGCCGTGAACTTGCCTTACCTGATGAAGACTTCAGCTCTGAAATAGTGCGCTGCACTTAGCTAAACACATAGAGCGTGTTGTTTGGTAAACCACGATCCTCTCAGGATCACTTTTGAAATATTTCGAACAATGCTGGGATCTAAACAGATTAAGCTGCAGTTGAAGCACCCTTCAGTATTAACATGTGGTATTATGTAACAGGTCAACAAGTGCTCTTTGATAATAAAACTCTTAATGGAGCAATAATTGTAAATGGTTACCATACTGTAAAATATTTTGATAAAAATTAATTAGTATTAAATGTATTTATTTGAAACACTGAGCTGTTTGCACAGCTCCAACTGTGCATGCTCAAAATGCACTTTTAAAAATTGTTACTTTTGGTGTGTGTCTTTCTGTGGGATATGTTACAGCGTACTAGGGCATAATATGGTATCCTTTTGAGTGAGGTCTGCCCTCATCTCACAAGTGAAGTGCCTCCTACTATCACTAAAGTATGTTACGTTTACTCAGAAGAATTTCCCATGGTACACTATAGCGTATGCTGTCCCTTCCACACTTAAGTGAAGCTTAAGAATAAAATTAAGAACCAACAAAATATTTACCTGATTGCTAGTTATCAAATTTCCCCCAAAAGACGGTCATTCTACCACTCCTAGCCTCTGAATTTAATCTGGTGCACCCCTCCTCCCGGTCCATTATATAAGGGCTATTTTTAGATGCTTTGAACATGGAAAGCTAGCTTCTCTTCCCCTTCAATAACTTGTCAAGTGTCTAGAGGGAGCTTATCATGTTTCCTGTTAGGGAATTAGGGCAGATATGGTAGTCCCTGCATCTGGCCTTGATTCTAAGTTGTTACATTTGTACAATCAGTAGTGTTTTAAGAATTATATGAAACAAAATGTTTTGTGATTGTTTTGTTTAAGCCAAGCATTTGAAACAATCTAGAATTTTCTTGGTGCAAAGTTGTATTGAATATATTGATATTTTTAGCCTATTTTAAGGAATTTAAATAATTGATTGTAAATAATTTGTTTGATTGGTGCAGTTTTAATTCCCATCAGGGATGTGCAGAGAACAGAGCCATGTGATGTGTCGCTCCGCCCTTCCCTCAGCAGCCTCACTGCAGCCTCGTGGTTGAGTGCTCTTTGTGTAGGAAGCAGCACTGGTTCCCTTGGCCTGTGTTCTACGTCCAATCATGACCAAAGTGCATTCTGAGTACCTTCAAGGAATGTATTACTGGAGCTTTAAGAACATACTTAGTTTCTCATGTGAAGAGTTAGGCTTTGTCTTATATGTTTCTTCCTCTATTGTCTAATGTTGAGGTTGTTTTTAGGCACTATATTTTATAAAGTTTTTCAAAATAAGGTACATACCTATACAGAACTTAACATTTTGCACAGATTATATCAGATATATTTTGAGAAAAAAGTACAGCATGAGTTCTGTTAGGAATAAAAAGACGAAATTATTGTATCTTACAAAAACTTATTTCAGAATGAAAATATTTTTGAGAAAAGTAGTTGGTGTACTGATTTAGGAAAATGCTTGCTTTAGGTTTCAGTTGTGTTTAATGTGGAGTTGGGAGTTGATGTACAGTATACCTGTCAGCAACATGATTGTGCCATTAATGTGGGCAGTGGTAGAATACTAAGAGGAAAAAGGTTTTTAGCAGTTAATAATGTTACAGAATCATTTCAAAGTAGTACGATTACATTGCTGCCTTTAAGAATACCATGAATGTAAGGAGTTGAAATGTTAACATATCACATCATAGAGAAAAAGCAGTTCCGAGGTAGAATTAGGGCAGATGTGTGCTGTTTCTTTGCCACGTGTTGTTTTTGAAAATTTGAACAGCAAGTTTAAAATAAAATGTTCTATGACTGACAGTTTTGTGTCTGTGTATGTTGTTTTAAGTGACGTGTCTGGAACGATTTGTGTTTTCTGTACCTGTAGCTTAAACCCTAGTTACACCTTTAAAAAAGGGACAGTGGAAATAAAGTTTTAACAATCTCTTGACATTTTGGATTTTGTTCAAGTCCTTATAACATGATAGGGTAACAGTGTACACACCAGGATGCTTGTACATAGATAACACTTGCCCCTTTGTACTGGAATGTAGAAAACTGACTGTGGCCTGAAATATTGAAGTTTGGTAGCAGGGTGGTGATATTTTATTTTTTTTTTTTTTTTTTTTTTTTTTTGCATATAGAGTATTTTTTATTTAATTTTATATAACAAAGTCCAATTAAATGAAAACAAACATTTATACACAATATTTGGGAATTTGGGCGTCGTTCTTTCCAAACTACTTCCTGCTGGTAAGGGGCGCTGTCTTGGGGGATTCGAAGAAGATTCAGATATCCTAGCTGTAGTCTGTAGGGCTGTTTTGTCCAGCTGTTTGGAATGTAGGATCAGCTTGTACTCTGTTTCAGGCGGTCTGGTGTGATCAAACCACATTAGTCTGGAAGGAATCCACATCTTTTCATTTTCTGTGGAAACAAAAATAGAAATACTTTTCCCCAGTAACTTGTTCTTCAACTTAAATTTTGGAGTCAAAGCGTTTTTTTTTTTTTTTTTTTTTTTTATTATTATTTTACATGTCGATCCCAGTTCCCTCTCCCTCCCTCCCACCCTCCCCCCAAGCCCTCCCTCCCTCCTTCCCTCCCTTTTGCCCTCTCTACCCTCTCCCATGCACTCTAAACACCCTCCCCTCCCAACCCCCCACCACAATACAATATGTAGGGGAATGCCATCCAGTTGGGGTCATGTAGATCTGACAGGTCCTGTGAAGTAGGGACTAGGGCTTCTCTCCTATCTCTAGAATAAGGCAGTTATCCCTCCATGGGGGATATGTTTGCAAAGTCCTTTTGTGCACCAGGGATACATCCTGGCTCCACTGTCTGAGGTCTCTCAGACTGCTCAGACCTTCTGGCTGAGACCCATATTCAGGGGAGTCCGAGTCAGACCTCTGTTGGCTTCCCAGCTATCAGTCTAGTGGCCCTTAGCTCCTCCTTGTTCAGGTAAGCTGTCTCTATGTACTTCTACCGCATGGTCTTGTCCTCTCCATCTGCTTCTGGGTTCTAGTTTGACTCAGTGTTTATGTATGGGTGTTTGCTCCTGTTTTCAACAGGCATTAGTTGAGGACTCCATGGAGAAGTTAGTTGTTGATCTCACTCTCCGGGAAGGGCATTTATGATAGCCTTTCCACGGAAGCTGAGATTGTTAGTTGGGAGCAGTCTTGTAGTTCCCTCGACCTTTCTTTGTGTTCAACTTTATCTTCAAACCAATATTGGCTCCCTCTTTTATGTTCTCTCTCTCTGTCTCTCTCTCTCTTTCCTATTTTCCATTCCTAACCAGGCTCAATCCTCCTAGTCACACATGCCTTCCTCTCCTCCCTCTCATTTTCTCCTACTTCTCTCTCCATTAGCTGTCCTCCCCCACTATACCTGAGGTCTGGGGGACTTGTCCCTTCCCAGTTCTGTGAGGGACTTTATATGAATCTCTTAGAATACAACTTGTATCCTAGTTCCTCTGGTGATGTGAATTATAGGCTGGTGATCATTTGATCTAGGTCTAAAATCCATATATGAGTGAGTACATACTGTGTTCCTCTTTTTGTGACTGGGTTACCTCATTCAGGATGGTTTCTTCAAGTGCCATCCACTTGCCTGCGAATTTCAAGATTCCATTATTTTTTTCTGCAGAGTAGTATTCCATTGTGTAGATGTGCCACATCTTCATTAACCATTCTTCAATTGAAGGGCATCTAGGTTGCTTCCAGGTTCTTGCTATTACAAATAGTGCTGCTATGAACATAGTTGAACAGATGTCTTTGTTGCATTGATGTGAATCCTTTGGGTATATGCCTAAGAGGGGGATTGCCGGGTCCTGTGGTAAACTAATTCCCATTTTCCTGAGGAACCGCCATACTGATCTCCAAAGTGGCTGTATGAGTTTGCACTCCCACCAGCAGTGGAGGAGTGTTCCACTTTCTCCACATCCTCTCCAACATAAGTCATCACTGGTGTTTCTAATTTTAGCCATTCTGGCAGGGGTAAGATGGTATCTCAAAGTTGTTTTGATTTGCATTTCCCTGATAGCTAAGGGGATGTGGAGCATTTTCTTAAGTGTCTTTCAGCCTTTTTGATTTCCTCCATTGAGAATTCTTTCTTCAGTTCTGTACCCCATTTTTTAATAGGGTTATTTGGTGTTTTGTTGACTAGTTTCTTGAGTTCTTTGTATATTTTGGAGATCAGCCCTTTGTCGGATATAGGATTAGTGAAAATCTTTTCCCAGTCAGTGGGCTGCCGTTTGGTTTTGTCAACTGTGTCCTTTGCCTTACAGAAGCTTCTAAGTTTGAAGAGGTCCCATTTATTAATTGTTTCTTTCAGTGTCTGTGCCCCTGGAGTTATGTTCAAGAAGCGGTCTCCTATACCAATTTGTTCAAGGGTACCTCCTACTTTCTCTTCTAAGAGGTTCAATGTGGCTGGATTGATGTTGAGGTCTTTGATCCATTTGGACTTGAGTTTTGTGCATGGCGACAGACATGGGTCTATCTGCAGTCTTCTACACACCCTCATCCAATTGTGCCAGCACCATTTGTTGAAGATGCTGTCTTTGCCCCATTGTATCATTTTAGCTGTTTTGTCGAAAATCAGGTGTTCATAGGTGCATGGATTAATATCAGGATTTTCAATTCGATTCCATTGGTCTACCTGTCTATTTTTATGCCAATACCAGGCTGTTTTTCAGAACTATAGCTCTGTAGTAGAGCTTAAAGTCAGGAATGGTGATGCCTCCTGATGTTCTTTTATTGTATAGGGTTGTTTTGGCTATCCTGGGTCTTTTGTTTTTCCATATAAAGTTAATTATTATCCTTTCAAGGTCGGTGAAGAATTGTGGTGGGATTTTAATGGGGATTGCATTGAATCTGTAGATTGCTTTTGGTAAGATTGCCATTTTTACTATGTTTATCCTACCTATCCAAGAGCATGGGAGGTCTTTCCATTTTCTGGTATCTTCTTTAATTTCTTTCTTTAGAGTCACAAAGTTCTTATTATATAGATCTTTTACTTGTTTGGTAAGCGTTACACCAAGATACTTTATGTTGCTTGTGGCTATTGTAAAGGGTGATGTTTCTCTGATTTCTTTCTCTGCCTCTTTGTCGTCTGAAAAAAATAGGGCTACTGATTTTTTTGAGTTTATCTTGTATCCTGCTAGTTTGCTGAAGGTGTTTATCAGCTGTAGGAGTTCCCTGGTAGAGTTTATTGGGTCGCTTATGTAAACTATCATATCATCTGCAAATAGAGACAGTTTGACTTCTTCCTTTCCAATTTGGATGCCCTTGATCTCCTTTTGTTGTCTTATAGCATTAGCTAGAACTTCTAGTACGATATTGAAGAGATATGGAGAGAGAGGACAGCCTTGTCTTGTTCCTGATTTTAGAGGAATTGGCTTAAGTTTCTCTCCATTCAGTTTGATGTTGGCAGTTGGTTTGCTGTATATTGCTCTTATTATGTTTAGGTATGTTCCTGTTATCCCTGACCTCTCTAATACCTTTATCATGAAAGGGTGTTGAATTTTATCGAAGGCTTTTTCTGCATCTAGGGAGATAATCATATGGTTTTTCTTTTTCAGTTTGTTTATATGGTGGATCACGTTGATAGATTTTCGTATGTTAAACCATCCCTGCAATCCAGGTATGAAGCCTACTTGATCATGGTGGATGATTTCTCTGATGTATTTTTGAATTCGGTTTGCCATTATTTTATTGAGTATTTTTGCATCGATGTTCATCAGGGATATTGGTCTGTAGTTTTCTTTCTTAGTTGTGTCTTTGTGAGGTTTGGGTACCAAAGTTATTGTCGCCTCATAAAAAGAGATTGGCAATAAACCTTCTGTTTCTATCTTGTGGAACAGTTTGAGGAGTAGTGGTATTAGTTCTTCCTTGAATGTCTGGTAGAATTCTGCACTGAATCCATCTGGCCCTGGACTTTTTTTTCGTTGGAAGGCTTTCGATGACTGCTTCTATTTCGTTTCGGGTTATAGGTCTATTTAAGTTGTTTGTCTGTTCTTGATTTAATTTTGGTAAGTGAAAGTTATCCAGAAACTTGTCCATTTCCTTTGAATTTTCAATTTTTGTGGAATACAGATTTTCGAAGTATGACCTGAAAATTGTCTGGATTTCCTCTGTGTCTGTTGTTATGTTCCCCATTTCATTTCTGATTTTGTTAATTTGCATGTTCTGTCTCTGCTTTTTCGTTAATTTGGATAAAGGTTTATCAATCTTGTTGATTTTCTCAAAAAACCAACTCTTTGTTGCATTGATTTTTTGTATTGTTTTCCTGGTTTCTATTTTGTTGATTTCAGCCCTCAAGTTGATTATTTCCTGGCGTCTGCTCCTGCGGGGTGAATTCGCTTCTCTCTGTTCTAAGGTTTTCAGTTGCGCTGTTAATTCATTTATGTGACTATCCTCTGTTTTCTTCATATGGGCACTTAGTGCAATGAACTTCCCTCGTAGCACTGCTTTCAAGGTGTCCCATAAGTTCGGGTATGTTGTATCCTCATTCTCGTTGAATATTAGAAAGTCTTTAATTTCTTTCTTTATTTCTTCTTTGACCCAGGAGTGGTGCAATTGCACATTGTTCAGTTTCCATGAGTTTGCAGGTTTTCTGCTATTTGTATTGTTGTTGAATTCCAATTTTAAAGCATGGTGGTCCGATAAGATACAGGGGACTATTTCTATTCTCTTGTATCTGTTGAGGTTTGTTATGTCTCCTAGTATGTGGTCGATTTTAGAGAAGGTTCCATGTGGAGCAGAGAAGAAGGTATATTCTTTTGTCTTTGGATGGAATGTTCTATAGATGTCTGTTAGCCCCAGTTGAGA